CAAAGATTTTCAAGCTGGCATCCTACGGTCCTATGTTGACAAAGAGATTGATGTACTCAATGGTAGTGGTGACCACAGACCTTTGGTGTTAGAGGTGGGAATGAAATGGTCACCTACAAGAGACGGCAGATTTCTTCGGAGCAGCTTTTATGACCGGGATGCTGCAAGAGAATGGTGCAAGACGGGAGGTGTCCAGTTGATGAACATGTTGCCAGAGCAGTCATGGTCGCAGGATGTCAACGCTCATTGGGCGAACATCAGGCAATACCTGCAGGAAGGAGCTGCAAAGTTCTTCCCCAAAAAGAAAAGGAAGCCGAGGCAGTTGTATTTCAGTGACAACACATGGAATCTACTGTGTGACCGCAAAGATCTACGCCAGCAGCATCGAACGATCCAGAGAGAGATCAACGTGCATGTGCTGAAGCGATGTTTTGGTGCGTGGAAAGGCAAACATGACCATGTGGAGCAAAACAAATTGGTGGACTGGGATCTTGCGTTGTTGCGACAGCAAGAAGCAGTAACGTTGGAAGCCAGGATCAACATTGATGCCCGTTTCAGATCATGCAAAAAGTCTGATTGGAAGAGGTGGATCAAAGAGCAATTGGACCAAAAAAATCAGCAAACAAACCATGCAAGCAATGGAGATTTGTTTAGCATCTGGCAGCCGAAGAAGATGATTGCAAAGCATGCTGGGAAGCTTACCAAGCCTCTTCCTGGCTATCGAAGTTTGGATGGTCAATGGAAGTTTTCCAGGGTCGACATTGCAGAAGCGTGGCAACAGCAGTTTGCTGACATCGAAAACGCTGAGACGGTAGCATTCGATGATCTTTTGACCAAATCCAAGCCCACTTGTGAATCTCGGACTGCTGAGCAGCTCTTGGAAATGCCAACGTTGATGGATGTGGAGAAGGCTCTGAGACAGTTGAACCTGGCAAAAGCAGCAGGTCTTGATGGACTGGGAGCCGAGCTCTTCAGGGGCGATTGTGCTACAGCAGCAAAGAGGATCTACCCGTTAGTCTTGAAAATGGGTCTGCGATGCCAAGGTGTGCCGGAGCTCACAGGCGGCTGGCTCTTGCCTTTATTTAAAGGTAAGGGCAGTGCTCATGACATGAAAGGCTACAGGGCGATTTTGCTCGAACCTGTGGTAGCCAGAGTCATATCAAAGGCATGGAGGCACATTATGGTGCAGGGCCTGACACGGGTCGCACGCCCAATGCAGTGGGGAGGGCGCTCTGGGTTGTCAATAGAGAGTTTGCACCTTCAAGTTCAAATGTGGCAAGCGCAAGCTCGACGGCAGAAAGAATCTCATGCACTTCTTTTCATCGACATTCGCTCTGCCTTTTACTCTGTGGTCAAAGAGATGTTGACTGGGTGCGGAAACGACGTGCAAATCAGGCATGTTTTTGATCGCATGGGTCTACCCCTCTCAGCATGGGAGCAGTTCCAAACTAATGTCAAACATGAGAACATTCTTGGAAAAGCGACCCAGTCAACCTTGACAGCCGACAACACGGACGCTCTCCTCCAACATACATGGTTCACTATCCCGGACGGCAGGAGCATTCAGGCTCCTGCTACGGGCTCCCGCCCGGGAGACCCTGGGGCAGATGTGCTCTTCAGCCTTGTGATGTCGCGTATTTTGGGGCAAATCCATGAAAGAGCTTGTCGAGCTGGCATGCCACTTCACTATCAAGACGACATGTCAGGCATCTGGGTCACACGATGTGTGACGTGGGTTGATGATTTGGCCGTGTCAGTGTGTGCTTCTGCTGACCAAGTGGTGGACAAAGCGGCGCACATGATGTCCATTATCCAGGACACGATGCTGGAGCATGGAATGGTCTTGACTCGTGGAGCTGGAAAGACGGCTGCAATTTTTGCTTTCCATGGTGAAGGAGCTACAAAAGCGAGACAGGCTTTCGAGCGCACAAGCAGTGAAGGTTTGTGCATCATGTCCGAACACACAGGTTGTCTCAAGATCCCAATTGTCGCGCATTACAAACATCTTGGTGGACACATCACAAGAACGGGAAGTTGTTTGCAAGAGATCAAAGTGCGGACTGCCAGTACCATGGCCAAGTTGCATCCCTTGAACAAGCTGCTGAAAAACCCCAGCCTGGAGGTGGAGAAGAAGCGGCTTTTGATCAAGAGTATCGGTATCCCAGTGCTCACCTTGCATGCTGGAACCTGGACGGATCTCACGCAGGGAGAGTACGATGCATGGCAGGCTGGTGTTTTCCGCACATATCAGCAGATTCATTCCAGAGACCACCAAGGGCAAGTGAAGCATCTCCAGATCTATGAGTTGGCAAGAGATATGAATTCACCATTGCCTATGGAATTGATGTATGTCCAACGTTTGAGATTGCTTTTCCACATCATGCATGTTGCGGATGAGTACATGATAGGAGCTGTTCTCCACAACCATCAGATCATGCAGGGTCAATCGTGGTTGCACGGTGCTGTGAAAGCAGTCAACTGGATGAGGAGACAGATCGGTAACATGTTGGTGCCAGAAGAGCTTAGCCACCTTGAGGACGTGGCAACGTGGAAAGATTTTCAGCCATTTGCAGTCACTTTGAAGCGTGGCCTGCGGAAGGCACAGAAGTCTCATATGCTCAAGATCAAAGCTTTTCTGACTGTGAAAACGCATGCGGAGGAACAAGATCAGATGTTGCGTGAGATGGGTTGGAAAAGAGCAGATGAAGAGGAAGTGACCCAGAGAGATAGTGAGGTCAGTGCGTGTGAAGTGTGCCATGTCACTTTTGCTTCCCAAGCAGCTTTGGCAGTTCATCAGCAGCGCAAGCATGGCTACAGGATGGCTATGAGGCGTTTTGCCACGGATGCTTGTTGTCGCATTTGCAAGCGGTTTTTCCACACAAGGCCCAGACTTTTGCGTCACCTTCACATGGGAACCACTGATTGCTGGATTGGACAGTGCAGGAGGTTTTATCCTATGGAAGTAGCAGAAGCCAATCGTTTGGATGAACTGGACAGGAAACAGGGACTTGCAATGCACCAGACGGGGCTTTTGGATGCAAAGGTTGATTCATTGCGGAGGCCGTGTGAAGAGCATGAAATGGTCTCGACTTTACAGAATCGGGATGTTGATGCATGTGAGACTGGCAAGCCATCAAGAGAAGAATTGAGGCAGTGGTCAGCTTTTGGCATGCTCCCACCCGGGCAGGGGGGTCGGAGCAAGACATCTCGCAAAGTTGGAGACATGAATGTTTGCAGCATCAATAAGGCGGCAGCAAATTTGGAAGCAGATTTGCTAGGAAAGTTGAAGCATTGGCAACCTGCCTTTGATTGGATTCCACGGCCGATGTCGACAGGCCAGAAATATGTGTTGATCCTATTTTCTGGTCATCGCCGACATTCGGACATTGCCAGCTGGATGGAGTGGCAAGGCAATATCCAACCGATCAGTGTGGATCTTGCCATCGATCAAAAATTTGGCAATATCCTTGATGACGTTTTGTGGCGTCGCCTCATCATGGCGCGCAAAGTCACGGGGGTGCACGCTGCACCCCCGTGCGAGACATATACACTGGCACGATGGATGGAGGTGAACGATGGCCCAGCACCGAGACCATTATGTGACATGCAGTCTCCATGGGGCAAGGATGACCTCACCCTACAAGAAGTTACCCAGTGCTTTGTAGGAACTTTGCTCATGATGAAAGCGTTGTCCCTGATGGTTTTGGCATACTGCTTTGGTGCTTCCTTTTCCTTGGAGCACCCCAAAGGAGTGGAGGGTCGTGAAGGACGCTGGACAATTTGGGATTCAGCAATGATCCAACAACTCTTGTTGGCAGCAGATGTCAAAAGAATTGATTTCATCCAAGGTCCGTTAGGACAGCCTTTTACAAAGCCCACATCATTGCTCACTGGAAGGCTTGAGAATTTTGCCATGGATCTCTTCAAGCACTACCAACCGGGTTGGAAGCCAACGGAATGGTTGGGTGGACGGGAGAGCAACAAAAAAGGGTGGCGCACGGCCAAAGCGAAAGCCTACCCCCCTTTGATGTGCAAAGTAATCGCCGAAGCTCATTTACGTCATGCCCAGGGTTTGACTGAAGAGGGATATGAAAAAGATCCAGAACTCTTACAGCAAGCATTGGATGCTCTGGCCGCTGGGTTTGATCCATATATGGTAGGAGCAAAGGGCACAGAAATGACGAGCGACTACTGGAAGAACATGGGCGACTTTTAGGTTTTGCATTTTTTTTGGTCCATAGGCTAGTAGCCATGTCAACGGACATGAAGTGAAGACCTTTGGGCATGCATGTCTCGCTATAGCAGCTTTTGAGACGTGCCTGCAAGCAGGCGTCCAAGACAGGACTCGAGCAGAGTGGAATAAAATATATATATACATATATATATATACATATATATATATATACATATATATATATACATACATGTGACATACATGTTTTGAATAAACGTTCATTAGACTAATACATGGATAGTTGCTGTGAAATGACAAGTTCAATGTGATCAGTGTGATTTGAATCCCAAGGTGATCAACCCTGGGAAAGAAGGCACGCAAACAACTACCGTGTCTGTTCAATGGACATGTAGCGTAGGGGTCAGGGATGTCATTGCCATTCTTATTGTTGCTATCACAATAATCATCATCATCATCATCAGCAGCAGCATCGGCGTCGTCGTCGTCATCATCATCATCATCATCATCACCGTCGTCGTCGTCGTCGTCATCATCATCGTCGTCGATCATCGTTATCAAATTCATCAGCAAGGACAACAAACAATAACAGCACCAACAAGCATTCCACACCTGAAATCAAGATTCGGCCCACTCCTATATACTGTCAGTGTTGATATATGTTGATATCCGGGCCTTTGAAAAGTGAGAAAGCCAAAAAAAGGAACCATGGGTATACATGGGTCATGGAGGTCATGTAGGAGTTTCAATCGAAGCTTGTGGACCCGGAATTCATTGAGCACCATGCCATCCCGTGAGCCAGCGGCACCTGTCGCAATGCTGCGCAGAACAGCGCAAAGCTCAAGATGGGCCTGGGCAATTGAAATTGACAAAGCCTTTGCCTCCACTGTCTTGTGCGGGACGAAAAGTCACAGAAAAGTCACGTGTGACTCCGCGCGACAGAAAAGAAAGGGTCCACATCAAGTAGGTCAGTTGGAGTCCCACTGCCCGCGCTCCATCGTCACCACCGATTTGGAAAAAAACTTTTGACCTTTGGACTTCTGACAAGTTGGACAACAGAAGGCACCAGAAACACAAACCGATGATGCATAGTTGGCAGGCTTTGACATGCTTTGCCCCACAAAATGGCCATGAAGCCGGCAAAAAATCAGATTCATTCATCTCAAGTCACTTCAAATATCTTCAAATCATTTTTGGATTCCAAGTGCACATACATGCCAGTGATCATTCTCATTCATTTTCCAGCTACCGGCTACCGGCTCAAGATCTTGCTGCCTGGGCACAGGATGCCGAATCGCTTGACGATGGGCTCCGCATAGTAGAAGAAAGGCACTTCTGAGATGATCATGCACACAGCACCTGGCTGGTGAAGTTTCACACCGGTGGAGTACCTTGTGATGGCCTCAAAGAAAAAACGCTTCGCGAACTGGAAGATCACATTTCCTGGTTTCATGGCATTTTATCAACTATAAATGGGTCATTTTATCCCTCTGGTAAATAACATAACTATGGAAAATCACCATGTTCAATGGGTAAATCCACTATAAATGGGCCATGTTCAATAGCGAACTGGGAGATCAGCTCAACTTCCCTGATCACGGTGGCGGTTTCCAGGGAATGCTGGCTGGCTACATCCGTAGTTTTTTTTTTAAATTACATCCACCTACTATCATCTTAGATGTGCAGTTTAGTCAGACAGTCATCTGCACAACATCCATGGAATCCAATGCTTCAGGTCACTCAATCCCATCACCGTGGAAGTACCATGAGGCAAATGGCGCAAGCGGACATAGGTGTAGGTCTGCCTGGACATGGATTCACCAATGACAGGCAGCTAATCAGCTAGCTGCGTTCCAAAGCACCTGGGGATGGTTTGAAAATATGTTTGGACCTCAAAAATTCATCAAAATGGATGGTTAATGATGGTTAAATAAATGATTGAGACTCACATCTTTTTGTAGTCAAACCATGGGGCTTTTCCAGCCAGGTGGCATGATGCCCTCGCAGAATCCCATGGCAATGACCGTCACCAAAATGATCATCACCCGAGGGGTCAGGAGAAATCTTCGCAGCTCCCTTGATGATGGTCTCCTAAGAACATGCAAATTGGAACAAAATAAAGGTGCATTGTGTGCATACCTAACCTAATCTACACTAATCTAATCTATATATCGATCTATCGATCTATCGATCTATCGATCGATCTATCTATCTATCTATCGATCTATCTATCGATCTATCTATCTATCTATGTATCTATCTATGTATCTATCTATCTTATCTATCTATCTATCTATCTACCTATCTATCTATCTATCTATCTCTATCTATCTCTATCTATCTCTATCTATCTATCTATCTATCTATATAACCTATCATTATATCTATATCTATATCTAAATCTATAATCACCTATAATATCTATATATACACTGGTAATCACTGGTGTGTGTATATATATATGGTCCCCCCAGACCTGTGTTTCTTCATTTTATGCTGGCTTTTGCAGTGTTTTATGCTATTGCAACGCCATGCTTAAAATTGTCTTTGGAACTTCAGGGTGCATAAATTTGACATTTGCAAGTAGTGGCAAAAAAACTGATTCAGGAACGGCAAATGGGACAGTCTTCGCATGGAAGATCATAGGGGAATTAATATGTGTATATATATATATAACATTATACAACTGTCAATGAAGATGTTTAACATTTCTTCTTCACTCCCTGGCACATTTGGGTGCAGCCCTGCTAAAGAAACATTAGCAGGACAATGCAAAACCCTTCGCCAAGTTCGCGTTTCAGTATCTTAACACCACGTACAGAAACCCAATTTTGGTGCACCCAATCAATTTTCTTCTCAACCCAGCATCCATCCTTTAAACAATTTAAAACAGTTTGACCCAACAAACATCGAAACAGGCGGAAATCAGTTGTCGACTCAAACCAGCTGACGTTGTCTCCCCTGCACTGCCATTGGGCAGGTCGTTCGATGACGGCGGCGCCGATGACGGCGCTTCGACGGTCAAATCGATGCCGGCCGAGGACGCGGTGAGCAACTGCTCGTTGTGGGAAGCGTGAGCCAAGCAAAAGACCTGGTGGAGGTGCTCAAAGGAGCAGTGAGCGGTGTCAATCAATGACTATTTCAGGTATATAAATTGATATAAATTGCAGGTACCTAGCCTTTTTTCAGGCCTACAAATCAGGGCTATTTCAGGGAGATGCCCCAAAATGATCGGCCGAGCTAAGCATCCCAGGATGTCACTTCAATTGGGATCAACAAAAACATTGGGAAATGTGGTTTGGAAAGTTTGGAACCTTCTGTTGGCCAGTGAAGTTGTCCAAAATGTCAGCAACATTCAGCAACATTTTAAGCCGCTTTGAAGGGCAAACGTTCAGCGTTCAGTTCTGTGAGGTTTTCTTGAGTGCAACCTACTGGAACTTGAGGCTAAGCCGTAGAAGGCTGTCTGCAAATGTGGCCGAGCCCATCCCCAAAATAGATGATTAAACTAACTGATCCCATAGGATCCATATATGGTATATATACTGACATGTGGGGTATATTGATGGCAAATGTCACCATATAGAGCATACATGGATCCTATGGGGATGATAAATATTGATAAACCAACAAAAATGGGGGCACCCTGGTTTCAAACCAACCAAACTAATTACTTGCAGTGAACGTTACAGTTTGCAGTGGTGAAACATGGTGAAAGGGTCCAAGCAACAGTGCATGCCAAGGCCACGCCAATGAACATACTCTCAGCAAAAATGACACCATAGCCTGAGTCGCTGAGTGGCTGAGTCGCCTTTTCCCTGGCCACCGTCAAAATGGAAAGAAACCAACATCTATGACATATGATGTGGTAAACCTGGTAAACCCAATGCCATAAACATCCATAAACCATTCCTAATATTCACATAAACCATTCCGACATAGGTGGTAAAGCGCATCCCCAAATGGTGTACGGCAGGTTTACCACATTGCGATCAGCAACCCTGGAAATAGACCGAGGATGACCGAGGAACCCCGCTGTTCTCAAGGAAGAACTGCCTTCCCATCTGCATCCCCATTCCACTGGAACCTAAACATGTTTGAAGATATCCGTCCAAAGGGACAGCGCCTGAATAAAAACCTGGGTACATCTGGAAGTCATTGGATTCATTGAATTGTTTCGAGGCCTGTTTTCGTTGCAGGAAATCACCATACCTCCAGGCAGAAAACATGTTTTCTCACAAATCTACCCTAAAATCATCCCAAAAATCATAGAGCCCGCAAGGTCTTCCCAAATATCCTCCCCAAATACTGATCCAGTGGTGATACCAACGAAAATCAGAATCATAGACTTTTCACATGTTTTCACGACTGGATCACCCTCACTTTCCCATTCAGCTTGCTGCTCAGTGCCAGGCAGCTACCGAGGGCATGAGCCAAAAGCCCCGTGAAGAACGAGCCGAAGGCAAAGCCGATGCCTCCCCACAAGCGAACCTGGCGGCCCCAAACTCACGGCTCACGGCATGAGGACAAATAGGATGGTTTGTTATAAAGTATGGGGTCTTATATCATCATTGACATATAATTTGAGAGTGTCCGATTGTTCAGTGCCAGAATTATCTATAGTAGTGGCAAGCAACCACACTAGCAAAACAAATAAATCCAGGCTACCACTATCACTGGCATGCCAGTCAAGCAGGACAATATTGGGTACAAAATTACACCACCTCAGAAAAGGATGGCCTACAGTAGCACACAACTGACACCTTTCTAACACATATCATCTATTCGGTAAAAACCATCAGGCCATTCCGTAACACCAACAGCTGCTCCCTTAAGCACCTTGCCATAGGCTTCCTTCCCAACAAAGCGCAGAGTGATCTCTGTTAGCATGCCACCGGTGGAGCAAGCCGCCTGCGGATGCTGAAAACCACTGGGCAGTACCAACTCATCCCAACTCAAAACTTGAAGTGGAAGAACCTCTGAACAGGAAATCTGCACCAAACAAAATCCAACATGAGCACTGCAAACTGCTTGGTGCTTCGTGCGTGATCACAACTGAACAATAGTGGGAGCAAATCATTCTGAACTCCAAATCCATCCGAGTGAAGCGGAACAAATGCCATCATGGAAATATGACTCGCGAATCCTATTTTGTGGTACCCAAAAATATCCTAAATATCCCAAAATTTGCCTGCAAGCACATGAAAGTGAAAATCCACCAGTAGCTGCCAGCATTCGGAGCAAAACCCAAAGCTGGCCACGCTGCCATCTGCAGCGTTGATTTCCTTGTGGTCTCTGTGCTGAGCACTGCGAGTGCACCAGTGGGGTGTTACCAGCAGCAGGACAGCATTCATCCACACCACTTACCACATGGGTGCCCTTTTTTGATCTTTTTTTGAAGTCCAACTACCCCTTGCTACGTTGGTACCCACCCATGCCGTCAGGCTGGATTGGGTTGGGATTATCCCACCTTCGTTCGTTCATTTGGCGACGAATCAATCATTGCTTTGTTGGTACGCATGTGACTGCGATTGAACTGGAGTGGAATCGCCTCATTTGTAATTAATCTGATTCAAACCTTCCAACCAAAAATGAATCAACTGTGATCATTAGCCCGAGTATGGCTGAAAAAAACACACTTTGCCTCAATTCCCATTTCTCGAAATGATATGCCCGTTTGTTGTTGAGGAATCCCCTGTCATCCCCTATCCACGCTTTGTTCACCAAAAGTTGCAATCACCAAGCAGCCATATCACAATTTCCAATTGGCTATATCCCCAATTCAACAAAAAACATCAGAAATCCTGAAATCACCAATAATCCCCATTTCAATGTTGGTTGCAGCCAGCATTTTGAAGCCCGTTCACTCATTCCTTGGGGAGAAGATTCAGCACCGCCACTGCCGCGAAGAGCCGATGCCGCCGTGCCGGCGCCAAATGGTCCGCCAGCCACCCCACGCCGGGGCCCGTCAGCGTGGGGGTCAACAGGCAGAGGGCGGAAAGGACTCCCAGGGAGGTGCCAGAGAAGCCATGCTGCTCCAGTAGGACCTTACCAAAAGCAGATTCAAGCATGAAAAATCTGACAGGACTTGATCTGAGAACTGAACATGTGCGTTTTTTTTGGTGATGTGGAAGGCGTTGAAAGAGGAAGTATTAGATAGATGTCAGATCTTTCTGAAGACTTAGGACAGGCTGGATAAATGATTACCTTGGAGAACTCAGCTGGGGCCTAAGGGATCTTGGAGTTGCAGTTTTGGAACCTGTTCATCCTTGGAGTTTCCTTCCAGTGGTTCCTCTCACATTCAACAATGTTCAACCATCTCAGATGCCGAACCATCACCTAGCAATCTGCATCAAGCTATGCAACATGTTCCAAAGATTGTGGGATATGCGGTTTTATCTACATATTGTTTTACATCAAAAAAAGTTAAACACTAAGAACATAAAAATTGTAGGGCCATTTGCAGGTCGGCAGGGTCGCTCTGATTATTGTCGACCAGTGGCTACGAAGAAGCCCTGCGGCCGTTGCACCGCCCATGCGAAGCCGGAGAAGAATTCCAGGAGGACCAGGCTGCAGAATTGAAAACGGCCATGGCTGCGACAAATCCCCATGGAGCCCCTGGGCTTTAAGAACAAAGGGGAAAATCCATGGCCGGAATGATCGTTGACTACCAATTTCAACATTGGCCGTTCAAACAAGAAGGCTTCTGATGCGAATGATCACTGATAAACAACATGTTGAACAAGAGCTAAGAACGCCTTGAAGGAGCAAAAACATGCAAAAACTATAACCCCCAATCAACTGGTTTTGAAAACACAAAATGTTTTGAAATATGGAGTTGTGAATGTATGTGATATGTATGGCAAAGCCAGATCAGAACATATAAATGTCTGTGGCAAAGGGCAATGGCTGGTTTCTGACCGGCTGCCTGGAAAGTGCGAAAATTGCCATCATTCCAAACGGACCCTCCCAGAATTTTCCAAAATGACAGACGCTGTCTTGGAAAAATCATTCAGCTACTGACAGCTGCAGCTACTGTATCTCTTTAAAAAATCCCATGAAGCATGAGAAACAAACTTCACAACTTCACAAGACTGAAAAACTATTCGGAATATATGTATATATAAATATATAGATAGTCTCTCTCTCTCTCTCTCTCTCCATCGCCATCACTTACACATTACACCCATACAATTTACATAACTTAATGTATGTATACAATATATATATATGTGTATCTATATGTAAATTAAATAAATATAATATATATGTAATTTATTATCATGATATATCACAAGAAAGCCTCAGCTTCCTAGCCTTGGATCCCCTCCTTGCCTCGCCGCAAGCACCGCAGGCATAGACTGCACATCCGCCACAGGAACTACCTTGGGCCGGTGGTCAGACCACCATGGCGAAATCATGAGCATTTATATAATGAAACTGATATGAAACTGCTAGATATGTTGGGAAAACCAGTGCATACATGATATCATGTTGATTTTTTTGTTGATATCTATGTTACTATCATGTGGTGGGGGGGAGACTCTGGAATTTAGATACACAGCGTAGCTCCGAACCGCTGCTACCAGATAGATCACCTCATCATCTTCCAACTGAGTCGAGAACATGTCGCCTGCATCGCAGGAAATGGAATCACCTGCCAATGGTCGTTCAACTGGCATGGCCCGGGCGTTCCCCGAGAAACTTGGAGGGTCGAGTCTAGTCTGGCGGTGTCGGCACATGCAAAGTACCCGTGTAACATCATTCCATAAAAGTCCTGAATTTCACATGCGACATGACAATATACATGGGAGATTGACCCAACTTTGTGTCAGGTTGCCCCCTGAGACATCGATGCCAGGATTTTCTTTCAATCCTGCGCCGCCAAAGTTGGTGAACTCCAATCACTAGGGCGCTAGATATATCAATGGCTATTTCAGGAACCGATTTTTTGGAGGTAATATCCCCACAACATATAGTCTTATATGGTACAGTACCTCCATTTTAGGATCCTGAAATTCCCATTGAATATATGTTATGTAAATGAATAAATAAACAAACCTAAATAAATAATAAGTAAATAAAGAATCTATAGTTCCTATATGGTTTATAAACTAACGTATCACTGGGGAGCACCACCTTGTACAAATACCACATTTCGCGTCTGAAATCCCTTCATCTTTGCTGGGTGCACCTCCCCAATGCCGTGTTTGTAGTGGCCCAGAGGATATGGTGCTTCCAGTGGCAACGCCCCACCTGCAAAAAGCACGGCAAGCTATGGCGAGCCAAGAATGGCCATGTCTAGTTGAGAAATAATGCGAACTAATGACGAGAGATTGATAAGTATCGAATAGTATCGATGAAGCTTACAAACCTCTTTTCATCGATCATGTTCTTATGCCTGGAAAAATCATATGAGCATATTGGACAGTATTGGCAAATGATGCAATCCTTGCTCACTGATATTATCTTTGACGATTTTGTATATATATATATATATATCTATATTGAAAGCTATAAAGATAGATAGACATAGGTAGATAGATAGATAGATAGGTAGATAGATAGATAGATAGTGATATATATATATATATATTACATATATATATATATATGCGACCGTCAAAACTCAATTCATGTGGTGAGGTCATGGCATCGCTTCACAAGGCCCCCTATCGCTACGCACAGTCCCAGCACCCTTTTCACCAACTAGGCAGAATCGCTGCTAGAAGAGGAGGATCCAGATGAGGAATCGGATTCTTATTCCCCTTGCGATGGTATCTCCAGGGAAATTCAAACTTTTACGTGATCACCAAGGCTGACGTCGACAGCTTCAGCTAGACACCAGCCGGACTCACTGCAGGTCATCTGACCTCGGAGGCTGCCCTTGGCTTGTGTTGGCTTGTCTTGGCTTGTCTTGCCTGTGCTGCCTTGTTTCCGGCGCCTTTTTTTCTTCACCCCGCCTCCTTTTGCAACCTAATACCACGCCAAAATGAATCGGCAACTTCTCCCTAACAGGTAGACATGTGAACAAATCGCTGAGCAAATTGCGAATGCCTGTGAGCGTCTCTGTGGAACGCGGCATAACTCTAGAAGCTACTGACGTGTGCAAATAGAAAACAAGTTGTATAGTTTCAAGTGACCATGTGGGGTACTCCCTAATTTCATAGATTTCAGGTATTGCTCTGGGTATCGAGGGGTATCGCTTCGGGCATCGCTACGGGGACCAGAAAATGTGTGATCTCACGGTTATGTTCCAAGTGACACGAAATTCTGACAAGCTCCATGTTGCAATTCTACTCCTGGACAGTGGCTTTGGAGAAGCGTCCGTGACCGGACAAGGATGCTTTTTCAACATATCTCAGCACGGTCACTATCTGAATCAACATCATCACCATCACCATCATCATCAGCATCATCACCATCATCAAGCTCATGATGCGTTATGAATTAGTTTCTTGCATACCTTAATTATAGATCAACATACCCCAATATATCAACATTGTTTAATGTAACTATCTCATATATACTTGACGACAGGCCATCTTGCAACTACCCAGGGAGACCAGCCCACTGCGACTGCTCCAGTGTCGCACTCTGACATCAAAAGATTGGAAAGTCATGCGCCCAACAGGAAGGCTCAATCATAAACAAAGTCTAAAAAGAGGTATCGCTACACAAGGCCCCCTATCGCTACACACAGTAAATCACATGTTTTGAGTAGTGATGGCGGATCGTAATTGAAGCCTTTCATAGCGTCTTTTGATCATTGCACATATATATGTGTGATATATATTATATATACATATGATCTTATACATATATAATATATATGTATATATATATATACATGCTCACTTGCCCAGAAAATCTGTGTCAAACTAGGGGAGTTTCATTGGCACCAAATTGACCCGCCTGCAGCCAGAAAGTCTTCCCAGGCTGCTCCCACTCCCACCAGGTCAGTGTCATCCATCACCTCAATGAATTGCGCAGTGCCGCAGTGTGCCCATGCCTATCAAGTCTAACATGCTTACTGAAAAAATCTATAGTTCACCATGTATATTACCGTGGATATCCTATGATTATCCAATCCCTATCAAGATGCCCATTGTGGCCCCATGTATCCCATGTGATATTCCATATGATTTCCCAGCTTTCACGTCGAAAAAATCACCTCTGAGGCTGCCACCACCGTGGAGACTGCCGGTGGTTGGCGAGCCATGGCACGGCCTCAGGTGGCAAGCTGACCACAACAACCACTAAAATCATAGTACCCGACCTGGTAAACTAACATAGCTATTGAAAAATGGTGATTTATAGTGGATTTACCCATTAAAAATTGTTATTTCCCATAGTTGTGTTAGTTTACCAGAGGGTACCCTCTGGTAATGTAACAGTGTGCTATTGAAAATGGCCCAGTTGTAGATTCGTCACCTATCAGTATATATCAGTATATACTGTTGTAGTCATTTGTTGTCATCGCTGTTAAGTTACGCGGCTGTTTTTCTGGTTTACTTTTGGCACTTGAACTTTGACGTCCATATTTTTCCATGTTTTTTAGTTACCTTTCAGTGTCCAGTGCCTATATGTGCCTATCTGCCAGACGCAAATGGGCCGTATCCTATGGACCCGATGGATCATCAGTGATGGCCTCTGGTAAACGTTTACAGTTCGCTATAGAAAATCACCATGTTGAATAGCTAAATCAACTATCAATGGGGTAGTTTCAATAGCTATAGTTAATTTACCAGAGGGTACACTTCAAACTGATCACAACATGTCTTCTCATTCGAGCTGCTTTGCTCACATCATGCTCCTTTTTGAGATATTTCGAGATACGAGGTCCGCTGGCAAGCGCTGTATCATCCACCAAAAATGTGGAAATCCACAACGCAAAGCACATAGGAAGGGTGTCAAGGTGCCACATTCAACTGGAAACCTGCCGTCTCGTAGATATATTTAATATGATTTAATCATATTTAGATTCACGATGCAGGATCAAACATATGTCTGAACAAGTCATTCTATGATCAATAAGCCATAGACATACTGACCCTGATGTACAGTGACCTCGTGGTGGGCTCTTTATACTTCAGCAGCATGTAATTGATACCTGAGTAGAAAATTATCCTTTGCTTCGGCCAGCACCTGGATCGGAGTATTGAGTATGTCTTAATGTAAGCATAATACAATATATACCACTGTAGTCTACTAATCATACTGTTGTAGAATATATACTGTAATAATAATAATAAATATATATATATATAATATCACCAGTAACATCTGGAATGTATCCTAAGTGTAGCCTTGTTTCGAAGTGCAGTGCAACGCTACCCGCCTCTAAAAATGACCACAATCAAAATACAGAGAGATATAGAGAGATATAGAGAGCTTGCAAGCTTACACATCTATTAAATATCCATTAATGATGCTTTCCAGCTTCAACCAGCAAAAGGATATCACACTGCCCGGGCAGCCCTGATCCCTGCACCGAATTGTGCGTCGTCGAGCGTTCCCTTGAGGAACTCTGCCGAAAGGTCAACAGTCGATCCTGCCTCGCACTGGAGGCGATCTCGGAAGCATCGATTCCTATGGGCCCGGTTCAGCCATCACCTTTGACATTTGTGGTCAAAGATGGTCAAAGTGAAAAAAAGGCCCCGTGTCGGCACCCCAAATCTGCCAGCCTGCTCTGCATTCACTATAGGGAACCTGTGTTGTTTTTTTGGGTCTGAATCCTGCAAATATCTCGCGAATCGCCTCTAAATCAATATAAAACTGCGGTCTTTCGCGGATTCGGAGCATGGTTGATGTTCAGACAACATCTTGTGACGGGCCGTCACTGCACCACGCGGTTTCACCGCCCCACAGACGGAAGCACAGTTGAGTCATCCTGCGGCAGCATCGGATCAGTTTTAAGGCATCCCCAAGCAGAAAACAAGAAAAATCTACCGCACATGGAATCCAGGACCTAGGAATTCATGGATATTCACGGGAAATAATAGAAAAACTCTTCCAGACCCCAGTTTTGGGGATTTCATGCTCAATGTACAAAGCACACATGCCATGAAATTAAGTTGGTGGATATTGCCGTAATGCCACCAGCCAGCAAATGCAGAAAATTGATGAAGTTGTAGCTAGGAGATGATTGTTTGGATGTTCCAAAGAGCACTGAGCCTCCAGACCAAGGGCCGTTTTGGGCGGGGGGTTCGCCACAACCAAGCCAGAAAAAAACAAGTGAAAGTCTAGTCTTGAACTGGGACACTTGAAACATCACAAGAACTTGGAACTTACCATAGACATCACCAAGAACTTGCTATGTTACCAGCAAAAATGCTGATGTCCATGGGATTTCCTGGGATTTCATGAGATTTTGGCGGGTTGTGAAGTCCACCTTAGAAATGGCTCGAAAATATGAGTCATCTTCACATGGGGCCCGTCTCCGTCTCCTTGTCGGAGGACTGGAGGACTTGGTCGCTTCGAAACTGCCTGGAAACAAGAGCGGTGTCCGATGGTTTTTTTGGAACAGCTGGGAAGTGATTTTCAGTATGGATCAGACACTTGATGAGGACCCCACTTTTGATGGACTTAAGGACATAAACGGTGTAAACTGCGGGTTTTCCATGGGATTTTCCATTGTCAGGTTGGATGGAAATAAGACTTGGAGTGATGGACCTGTTTAGATCGTTACACAGAGGTACCAGCCACTTGGTGCCAGGGAAAAAAATTACTGCAAATATCCTCAAAGGAAGGAGCCTGAAGGTGTGTGCCAGGGGGTGTGATCATCCCAAAGCTAGTGGGATTTGATGGGATTTGGGGGTCTCCAGCACTCTGATCAACTCCAGCCCCAAGCATCCCCAAGCACAAGTGTGTCAGCCTTGGTTTTATCAGGTCAAATATGGCTCCAAAAAAGATGAGCTGAGGGCTACACCTGATGATGTAGAAGAGGTTCATCAGTTGAACCTGGAGTACAAAGCTTTCCATGTCGATTTTTACGCAGCTTGATGCTTTGGCGTAGCGGTATGGCGGTATGCCACAAAAACACATGGTTGAACACATGATAATCTTCGCATCAAACATGCAGTTTTTAAGTTTTTGGGGTAATATGTTTCAGACACATCATTTTCTGTATCTAGGAGCGGTTTAGCCTACCAACATTCATCTCGAAGAAGTTTTTTTCTCTGGGGAAACCCTTTCGCATGTTGCTTTGGGATCATCATGATCATCCCCAATCAGCCTCTGGTAATTCAGCATCACTATACCATGGAACATCACCGTCTTCCGGAAATCATCCATAGATATCCGGATATATCCGGGCGTCCCTTAAGCCGTGTCGGATTTACCGGATATCTGGCAGGATATCTGCAACATCTGGTGGCATCTAAGGGACCACTGAATGACCACTGCATTTCTCGACGCTTAATTGTGCGCCATTTTTCGTATGTAGCCACCCTGAATGGTCCCCCGCCATGTAATACGATGTAATACGGTGATATACGGTGATCACTATACACTTAAATGACACATCATGCGATTTCAGTCCCGTAGTTACATCTGCTATAGCGGCCGGATCCTGTCCCAATTTGATGCGGGTGGTCCGGAGAGAAGCCAAGCCCCCGTCAGGCTGTCAGGCTGAGGAGCTACAATGAAAAAGACCACACAAGCAGCGATGATCCCTGCGATGAGCATGTTCTGGCGATAGATGGATACCTGCAGGTGACCACTGGACATCTGGGGATACATGTCTGGGGAACCCTGAAATCGGATGAAATCGCAAAATTCATCAATATATGACTGCATGGCGACTAGCATGAATACCCATTATCAAAATATCAACCCGATTGCCGATTGCTATGGTTTATTGAGACTATTGCTTCTGATCTTAAACCCAATTCTCACGAATTGTGATACTGTACGAAAATCTTTGTTGGGTTCGGCTGTACCCCCCAAATCATTCATATTAATCCATACCCATAGGATCCATGTATGCTATATATATGGTCACATAAAGGGGATATATTGATGGGATCCATGGAGCACCATATATAGCAGCACCGTTAGGATCCGTCATGGGATATGGAAACCATATTTTTTGTAAACAAATCATCCATATGAAAATCCATATGAAAATCCATATGAAAATCCATATTAATCCATATGGAATCTATATAGATTTTGGGGATCCAACCAGCCAGGGGATCCATGGGGATGGGGATCCATGGGGATCCAACTAGGGATCCAACTAGCCAGAGCCAGGCCACAGAGATGGCAATGAAATTCTCATAGCCTTCGAGGCCTTCCTGGCAGTAATCCTGGGCACCACAGCCGGGCACCACAGCCGGGCCTAGCATGGGTTATGCTGGCTTGCTGTCCAAAATGATCCCAAGAAAATCATCATTTCTATGGTTTTCTTTGGGAAACGACATGGGAAACGACATGATCCAAATGAACAAATGGCATCTCTCTCTGCCTTTTTTGGTGGGCTGAAATAGTCCAAAAAACCAAAATGATCCAGCAGTTGAAAACCTGGCTTTGTCTCAAGTTGTTTCAACATTTGGCACCACTCTCTCTGAATGAACATTTTATCCAGAAGGATTGCCGTTAAGTAAATGGGTTACTCCATGTTTGAACATCTGATGTCGTCCTGTTGGCACTGCTCGAGGGTAAAGCCGCCACCAGCTGCAAACTCAATGAGTTTGCACACGCCCTACCAGAGGGGTGCTATCACTGGCATGGTGCCGGTCCGACAATCCAAACTCTCAATATCTGTAAGAAAAACACCTCAAGGAATAAGGAAGAGGTTGGATCGCCCTCCTGATCTAAAGAATATTCGGACGTGTTTGAGTCACAACCCAGCCAACGTGGAACACAAAGATCTTCGGCAACAATCAAAAAGCCGGCTGAAAAAATGCTACAAGTGTGTTCCTTGATACCTATCTTTGGCATCCATTTGACGTCGGAAAGCTGAGTCAGTTTAGTCTAAGGTATCTCATTATGTACTGGATGCATCTGGATGCCTCATTTTGTTATATTATCCCACCTGTGATGAGCTTTGGGAACTCTGCACGCCCGATATCTGAGAGCCTCAGAGGATCAGGAAGGGATGGGGCCCAGTGTGCCATGGAGAGTTATGCAAGCGATGTGCTACGATGTGATGATGGCAAATCGATCACAAATTCTGGAGGTACATGTTCTTTGATTGAGTTAGACCATGATCAAGTTCAGTGCTGGAGGCGTCAAATGATGAGCATTCCGACCTCCAGAAAACAAAGTTGGAAGTGGACTCCCACCCTGAAGAATGGACCATGAATGAGAATGGTATGGTTTAAACCTTCCTGTGCCGCCCGAATTCGGTGACCGCCTCACTAGCCTTTCCCGTAACTGGCGCTGGCTTGACTGCAGCACTTGAGGGATCGTGTATACAGTCAGTATGTTGGCGAACTTGCCTCTCTGTATGTTGACCACAACATGCCCCGTGAAACCCCAGAACAATTGCATGGATTTTAAATAGTCGACTCATGTTGGCGTGAAAAAAGGGTTCTGTGTTCCTAGAGTGTTCAAACACCCAAAAATCACTACCCTCTGATAAACTAACTGTTTGCTATTGAAAATGGCCATTGAAATAGTTGATTTACCCATTAAAAATGGTGGATCTTTCCATCGTTTTTTGTATGTTTACCAGGCTGGGTAGATCTGCAGCATCACCACGACCCGGCCAAGCAGCAGAATTGTGGGTGAGACGGGTCGGATAAGATGAAGGCCTCGGGTCTGCTGTCGGAAACCAACCTGCGATTCATGGCATTTTTTGGGTCAAACATTAGCGAACATGGAATTGGATGGAATTGGAATATCTGAAAAACATCCAATTAGTCACAACTAGCCAGAGGCGACACCCCATGAACAAAATGGTTTGAGACACTAGCAATGACCAGCCTTTTGGTATTTCGGATAATTAGGCCATATTTAGGCCTTAAGTCATATTGTTTGAGAAGCATTTTTCATCTTAAAATTCCGTTTCCATTGCCCATCCTAAAATTGCATGTGGCTCATTGTGGCTCCTTAAAATCGCCCCTACTTGGAGGATCATCCCACTTAGTAAGTGGTTAGATCCACAATAGATACAGTGCCAATCTTAGATACCCTGCAAAAAATAAGTCTAACTGGTGAACGTAGATAATCCGTGATAATCCCATTGATACCAAGATTGACTAAAGGATTAGTTTCTACCCATCTACGATTGACCTAGTATTGAATTGGGACATTGTTTAAAAAATTGGGGGATAATTGATAATGGATCATCATGTTATCTCTGTTATATACCATCTGGTTATTTAACATAGCCATGGAAAGATCCACCATTTTCAAGTTCGGTAAACCATCTATTTCTATGGGTCATCTATACCATGGCTATGTTAAATAACCAGAGGGTATCACCATCCTCCGCAACTCGGATGCCACTGGGTGCCACTGGGTGGCCGTGTCCTCGGGCATCCCTTCCTTCTGCACCTTGCACTGCCGCGGCGCCCCGTTCCGCTCCTTGAGGTCAAAGAGCTCCGTGGGCTCACAGCCTGGGTTCGAAATGGGCTTTTTGACATGGGAGATTCATATCTACTTAGAATAAACAATGGTAATATCATATTATGGTTGATATCTACATGAATCATGGTTGATAACATATCCATTCATATGATGAATGGTTGATATAATATGGTAATATCATGTAATATCTATTACATATCATTATTCATATTATTAATGGTTGATATCTAGAATCTAATTAATGAGGGAGAAAAAAAAGCACATACATGGGATTAATATGGATTAATAATATTAGAGTAGTGGTTGATACCCATTAGTAGTGAAAACGCAGGGGATTAATATGGATATACCCTCTGGTAAACTAACAGTTTGCTAGAAAATCAACCTCTTTAAATAAGTGAAGCATCGGAAATGTGCTATTTCTATGGCTATGTTAGTTTACTGGAGGGTTCTGTCCATTGTCTGTTTTGGTTTTCAGGTTTATGAGATTGTGCTTATGATTTCACCCGCCAAGGCAATCACAACGGTGCTAGGGAGTACCCTGGAGCGTAGCCTGGTCGCTGAGCCCCGGGCAAGTCTGATATGTGTTGCATGCAAAGGATTCCATTTGTGCATAGATTTCCTGCAGCACAGACTACCGTCCAATTAAAATATAGACAATCCATGATGAATGTATAGCTCAGCTCCCTTTCAAAACCATGGTTTGTCCATGTCTATGTTTGCTATTGTTTTAACAAAACATGGTAATCAGTTGTCATTCCGCCTGCCTCCGTTACAAAATGCATTGGACCCATCATGACCCATCTGCAATTTTGCATGCAACAAAAATGTCCAGGACACCCACAGAATCATGTGCATAATTGATCATATAAGTGTTTGGGTGATGCGAATCTTGCAACAATTTTATGGATGATGCAACAAGACAGCAACGACAAAACCGAGGACCGAGGATCAATGTGTTAAACAAAAAAAACTTGAAGGCTTCTGCTAGACGATGGCAACCCATATGCAATGATAATCCCAAACAAAACTCATCGAGAATAAACAACAAAGTGACCAATTGAACCATGAAGAGTGCATGCAGCGGACTCAAGAATTGGGTATGGACACGGCTTGTCTGTTGCAGATTGCAAGTGACCATTCCAATCAAACACTCAAACAACAAAACATCATCCAAACTCCCTTCCCTTCCGTGGAGCCGAAAACGCATAAAACGCCATTGTCATAGTCCATAGCGACTCAGTAAATTCAGTGGATATTATATATGGTGCCATAGTAACAGAGGGTTTTTTTGTCATGTCCCAACTTCATGAGGGCACCTCTTGCACACCACCACCTTTAAAGACACCATGAGAGTCGCCGGCCTGCCAGGATTTTTTTGTGAAGCAGCAACCAACGGCGCGGCATGTCCGTTGAAAAACAAAGACAGCTAGTTATTGTAGCTAGTGTTGGTAAAAACAGTAATAAACCATCCCAAATTTCACCATAAATAGGTGGTATAAAAAGCCATTTCCTAATGGATGGTTTATGACATTGTTTTTTCCCACATTAAACCTGTAACCCCCCACAGAACCGAACATCAACTGAGAAAACTATAGAAATTTTATAGGATACTATAGTTACTATAAGTCTCAGAGCCTGGGCCAGCCTCAAATATCTCAAATCCACCTTTGTGGTTGCGAGACCCTGGGGTTGTTCCTCCCAAACCACCACTTTCCGCTCCCAGAATTGAAGCCAACAAGCCAACAACATAACATGGTTTCGACTCTCACCATATCCCAGAAAACTGGTCCCACCATTCCCGAAAAAAACGATTTTCAAGTACTTCCCCTGATTCGCAGATATCCATGGTGAAGTTGGCCATTGAGATCCTTACTTTCCCACTGGCTGGTGGTCCCTGAACAGTATGAACGTCAGTCGGGATCCTCCTCCCATTAACTCCCATTTCTCGGGCTTGAAAATTAAAAAAAACATCTGAAAACTTTAGTGAAATTCAAGGTAGAATCTCCCCATTTATATCCATTTATGTCCGGATTTCATGCCATTTAATGCAATTTACAATCTGCTTATTTAACATAGCCATGGAAAATGACCATAGAAATAGTGGATTTACCCATTAAAAATGCTGGATCTTTCCATAGTTAAACGTTTACCAGAGGGTAAACCTCCATTTTCCTATGGTTTTCCCATTCAAACCTCCATTTTCCATGGGAAATCCCAGTTTCGATGGCCACCCCCACCTGCGCCAACGAACTCCGGCTCAGGCCGTCGACATCTTGAGCATACTTGGCCTGGTTACCAGGGAAGAATCCTGGAAAAACCACAGATATGTCCATCATATGGCAGTGTGTCAAAACCTTGTACCCCTGGTGAACATCAAAATAGCTGGTAAATGGATGTTCATTCCCCTAAAAATGGTATTAATAGGTATTGATCCATAGCCATATCTTCATGAACAAGTTATGAATTGATATCATCTTAATTCATTTTATCACATATTTATATCAGTGTCACATAGTCATTAAAATCTTCAGACTTGTTATGGATCTTCATGAGTGACATATGGATTTATCATGGGTCAAAAGAGCAAAACTAATTATGTATTGTATATAAACATATAAACATATATAACAATCAGGGAGGAACTGTTCGACTTCGTTGGGGGGAGCGGAAGGATTGTCAGCGTTTCAAGAGTTCCAAATGGAGCAAACTTGGAAGTTAAGGGTTTTGGAAGCTAAAGGGCTAGCCAATGAGTTCCAACAAACAAAATGGGAGCAACAGGTAGGAAAGTACTGGGACCTTATCATCATTTTGTATATGCAATATATGAATATATATATATATACACTCGTTGGGGGTTTTAACCATCTTGAAAAATATGAGTCAATGTGAAGGATTATCCCAGATATTATGGAAAATAAAAAATCTTTGAAACCACCAACCAGTATATGATGATATGTATATTACATAGCGTGGCTGAGCCGCCTATCCAACTCTCTGGGCCCTGGGGAAGTTGAGCCAAGAGGCAAACAAAGCAGCGGCCGTGACGAAGATCAGTAGCAGAATCAAGCCGATGACCAAGTATGTAATCATCAAGCATCGGTGGCCTTTCCTGCCAATGTCCATGTTTTTCAATGGGTATGACTGAGGGGTATATGAAAAAATGAAACCAAAATAAAATATCATTCTAGTGATGGTAAAAATAATCAGCCACCCAAAGAAGTTCCATTTCTGGCTGAAAGAAAATCTATATCTTTCAGCATTGGACGGAGTGACGGACCCCTCTCTTTTCTCATTGGGCATTTCAGCGATTTCAGGAACTTCACGGCAATCCTTCATGCTTAGCATGGGATCTTCAATCATGACAAGTTCTTCTGAACCGAGCTCCGTGCCAGTAAATGCTTTCCCATGGTTTTTGATCATCTGGGTCAGGGCATCCTGGGTCAGCTTTCTCTGCAACCAGTTCCTGACAGAGATGTTGCACCCTCTCTGGTAGTGTTTCGTAGACGTACCATGGAATAGATCGGCTCGGTGGAAACATCTCTGGATCTTTCTCGGCTCGGAGCTCACCTGATACGTACTCGATGGATGGTAGATATCTGGTCTGTTCGCTCCAATTTGGCGTTCCGCCATGCAGAATTCTCACATCACGAAGAAGTGCAGCTCCTGCCGGGACAGGAAAGAGCCTTGAATGCCGCCACTCAGCTGGCTCTTCCTCAGTTCTGCGATCCCAGTCCAGTTCCGTCTTCCCTGGCACCATGCGGATGGGGCCATTGAAGCTCGTCAACGCTTGGACGCAGAAGTTGACCGAGAGGAATGGGGGAGGCATCCTCACATCATCAGGATTCATCTGCATGTCACCATGTAGGAACTGATATTCCTCCACGCCAGGTAGAACGAAATCTCCACCGCCACTGTAGCACATGAAGTCGGCCTTGCCATCCTTGCTGAAGATCTTGGAAAGCAGTGGGTCCAACGTCACTCCTGCACGACTCAACAGGTGCGTTGAGATGGATGGCAAGTGGAGGATGCTCCCCGTACTGGAGGCTACACCAAAGCTGTATCTACCTGGAGCTCTGTTCCCTTTTGGATCTAGTGCTACGATTTCTTCAGCAAGTTGCTGGCAAGTCTGCAACACTTCTTTGCATTGCGAAGTGTTCAAAACCTCCAGCACCACCACGAAGCCGCTCTCCTGGAAAATCCTCATCGCTTCGTCCTCCCAGCGTGGCATCTTGCAGGAGACCATGAAGTCAGCCACATGGAGTGTCGAAGGTGGCGGCACTTTGTCCGTAAAGGATTTCTCACTGGAGCACCTGGGCGTCCGGCTCCTTTCCTCATCACTGCCAGGCTCTTGCTTCAATTCATTCAGCAGGAAACTGCCATCACCTTGCCCAGTTGGCATCGAGCATGCCAAGGGAGCAATTCCATCACATGTGCCGGTAGACATTTGAGCCTTTTTGTTGCGACACAATGTGATACAAGTGCTGGCTTCGGTAAGCCAAAGTCTTGGGAATTAGTCAGCTTAAAAAATCCAAACACCCTCAGCCAACTGGAGTGTGGAGCTTACTTGACAAAGACGCAAAATCACAAGTCAGATGGCACCTTCACAATCGTTCCATATGTGGAAGCTAGCTTTCAATCCGCAAGCTCCAGATAAGTCGTTCAAACAAGAGGATGATCTCATCTGGATCCCGGAAAAAATGAAATGCCTTCAAAATCTGGCAACCTGTAATGCCGTAATCTGTGATATGTTTCGTTACTATGTGCTGCACCCATAGTAAACCATCAACTTGTGGATTGTTATTGCCACGTTATGTCACTATCATTCTCATATTCTCATATATTCTCATGTTTCGTGATCCAAATGATGGTACAGTTGCCCGGAATCATGGAAAATGCAATCTCTAGCACTGCCATCATATCCCGACCAAGCCTCACTGCATAGATGCCCATGCAAGCGAACAGTGCCAGGGATGTCCCTGCGGCCAGCACCACATATACTGCACCTACACTCATGTAGCCCTCGATGACCTCCAGGGCGAAGTCGGCAGCGACAAATGCTGAGGATATTTTACATCGTAGATTCCTAATCTAGCAAATTCGCACGGGTTTGATCGTTTAACCTTTTGCAGCGGATCCAATTTTACTTTTGGAGGGTACCACCTTACCCTTGGATCATATATACTTCCTGACAATCTGAAATAGCAATGGACAAATCCACACACTGGTGTTTATCTCCATGTTTTCCTGTCAGGCCTTTCCATGGCCCTAAAACAACAATCAAATAATCTATCACATGGGTTTGTCTGGGATTAGGGAACCCTCCCGTTTTCAAAGGATTGCCATATTACCAAAATCATGGGTGCCATATTTTAGGATTTCGGAGATTTTTGGTATGTTCCCCAGGCTTGGAACGCATTCTTCCAGGTCTCCCAAGCAGTCGCCTCCTTGAAATTCAAGACCACACCGGCCGCAGCAGCTGAGACGATGCCGCAAAACAAAACCACTGTGGTCAACAGGTAGAAGATTCTCTTGGACTTCTCCTTCCGAGAATCAAGATCTCATTAATATCAATGGTATATAACTGAAGTGTGGGATTTAATGGGAAGATGGGATAATCATCAGGGATAATATCTGATTATTGTTTATCATTAAAAGGAATTGATGGACACTTATAACTGACATGTCATAGGATGATTTTGGAAGAGACTTGTACCAATGATTGTACATTGTATAATGGAATGATTATGGGAATCAACATCTCTTTACGAAAAAAAACTGGGCTTTCAATAGGAAAACCAATGGAATATGAATGTCTAATTCGACATCCTGTCATGGGATGATTTCGGGGTTTTTGCCATGATATACTCAGTATGGCAATGACACGTGGCAGCCTGAATCCTCCCATGAATCAATGGAGGTTGTTTTTGTGGGACACAAACATCTATCCGAATCTATACTGTAAATGACGGCTTTACGTTGCCACGTTTGATTACAGGAGGGTCAGTTACCGCGGTTTTTTACTTTGGGAACCAAAATTGACCAACGCTCAAGTCAACCCATTAATATGGGTTTGCTCAAGAAACAAGTGACATTCTTAAGCAATACGGTCCCAATGTGTTTGTGTATGTACATGTATACCTATTATTTATCAATTACCTATTCACCATATGTAATTAAATGTAGACATACTGTGGATGTAATCCCATCCCCCCAAGTTTGAATTCACTATTCTTTGGCAACAAAAATGAGATTTTTTCCTATCAAAGCAGAGTGTATATTTTAGTAAGGCGCTCTATCACGTTTTCTTTAGAGCCAAAGTATACCACAAATACCTCAATGTATACCATAACTTTGGGTATACTTCCCCCAAACTATACCCTTAGTTTGGGTACACTTTCCGCAAAGTTCACCCAAACTTTGGGTACACTTTGGGGGAAGTGTACCTGAACTTTGGGTACACTTTGGGGAAAGTGTACCTGAACTTTGGGTACACTTTGGGGGAAGTGTACCCGAACTTTGGGTACACTTTGGGGAAAGTGTACCCGAACTTTGGGTACACTTTGGGGAAAGTGTACCCGAACTTTGGGTACACTTTGGGGTAAGTGTACCTGAACTTTGGGTACACTTTGGGGGAAGTGTACCTGAACTTTGGGTACGCTTTGGGGAAAGTGTACCCGAACTTTGGGTACACTTTGGGGGAAGTGTACCTGAACTTTGGGTACACTTTGGGGAAAGTGTACCCGAACTTTGGGTACACTTTGGGGAAAGTGTACCTGAACTTTGGGTACACTTTGGGGGAAGTGTACCTGAACTTTGGGTACACTTTGGGGAAAGTGTACCTGAACTTTGGGTACACTTTGGGGAAAGTGTACCTGGGGAAAGTGTATCCGAACTTTGGGTACACTTTGGGGAAAGTGTACCCGAACTTTGGGTACACTTTGGGGAAAGTGTACCTGAACTTTGGGTCACTTTCCCCTTTGGGGAAAGTGTACCCGAACTTTGGGTACACTTTGGGGTAAGTGTACCTGAACTTTGGGTACACTTTGGGGGAAGTGTACCCGAACTTTGGGTACACTTTGGGGAAAGTGTACCCAAACTTTGGGTACACTTTGGGGAAAGTGTACCTGAACTTTGGGTACACTTTGGGGAAAGTGTACCTGAACTTTCGGTACACTTTGGGCAAAGTGTACCTGAACTTTGGGTACACTTTGGGGAAAGTGTGCCCGAACTTTGGGTACACTTTGGGGAAAGTGTACCTGAACTTTGGGTACACTTTGGGGAAAGTGTACCTGAACTTTGGGTACACTTTGGGGAAAGTGTACCTGAACTTTGGGTACACTTTGGGGAAAGTGTACCCAAACTTTGGGTACACTTTGGGGAAGTGTACCTGAACTTTGGGTACACTTCATGGAAAGTGTACCCAAACTTTGGGTACACTTTGGGGAAAGTGTACCTGAACTTTGGGTACACTTTGGGGGAAGTGTACCCAAACTTTGGGTACACTTTGGGGAAAGTGTACCTGAGCTTTTGGGTGTATTTTCCCCAAAATTAAAGGTATACTTTCACCTGGTTCAGCCTGGTTGCGGTATACTTTCCCCAAAATGAAGGGTATAATATTACCTATAATATACCCTAAATCTAGGTCTAAAGAGACCCTCCAAAAACGTGCTAGAGAGCCCCCCTAATGTATATTTAATATTGGTGGAAGGGATTGCTATAAATCTCCGGTTTGTTACCAAGAGGGTGTTTATACTTGCAAGTTTCCGTGTTGAGTGTTCAGTGACCTCCCCTCCGCTTGTTGATGGTAAATTACTTATCCTGGATTGACATCAGCATCACTCCCATAAACCCTTATACTTCGGGCTATGAAAAAAATGGGAATTCACAATGCCTGGCTTACAGCATCTATTTGGCGGTTTCCATAAATGGGGATACCCCCTAGCCGGATGGTTTATAAATGTTTATTTCATGAAAAATCCATCTATAAATGGATGATTTGGGGATACACCCATTTCAGGAAACCTCCATTTTTGCAGAAACACTTCAAGGGGCTAACGGACAATCTCCATCCCGGACGTTTGAGAACAGCAGAATTTTCTGCTCCAGGGAGTCACCTTTTTTTGGGTATTGGGAACCTCACCAACTGGGTCTTCAACTGACCTTGTTGCAATGAATTATTATAGTTGTTTTATATAGTGCGGATAGATGGTGATAGATGAGGTTCCGATTGGATATGGCGTTTGAAATAATCCTGGTTGATTCAACCCCTCTGAAACATATGAAAGTCAGTTGGGATTATTTTTCCCAATAAATAGAAAATATAAAATGTTCCAAACCACCAACCAGATTCCCTTACACTTGTTTCATCTTTTTCCAGTACCAGGCCTGCTGTCCAGAGGGGCACAAAATGCCTTTGCAGCACCTGACAAGCAAATGCAGTGAGGCCCCGTAGCCCTCTGGCGCTCGAGGGTCAAGCTGCGTAGCTGAATTGAAATGCCCACACATGTCCACACCAACAATGTCTTCTGATTAATTAATTAAAAATTAATCCATCAACCATTCAACATCATTCAACATAGCCTATGGTAAACTAACATAACACTGGAAAATCACCATTTTTAATGGGTAAATCAGCTATAAATGGTCATTTTCAATAGTCATGTTAAATTACCAGAGGGTACATGTCCGAGGCATTCCGAATCAGTCGGACTTGATGCCGGCCAGGCACAAGCCCCAGAAGCAGATGTTGATTGGCACCAGCACAACCCATGACCTCAGCATCCATCTCTGCAAGGCCACGTTTACGTCGTAATTTGTGCTGGTCATTTGGTCATTCCTGGGGTGTACCCTCTGGTAAACTAACATAGCTATGGAAAATGGCCCATCTATATATATAGATGGTTTACCTATCAAAATAGTGATTTTCTATAGCTATGTTAAATTACCAGAGGGTATTCATTGTGTAATTAGCCTCGGCCCTTTGGCTCGTGTTTTTCAAAAAAGTGTAAAAAGGCCAAAGTTTGATGGCTGTTGTCTTCTTTGTTGATATGTCCCGTTTTCGCCACGCATGTGCGAAAGCCTTTACTGTTTCAAGAGTTTGCCTTTTCAGTTCTGTGATTGAGATGTTCGTGACATCCACAGTGGCGACAAACAAATGCTGGCTGGGCAGGCTGGGCATTGTGTTCCCGAAATTCATTGCAAACAGTAACAGCATTAAACCCATCCCTTCCCCGCTCTATAATGTATGTGTGCAATCTAGCCCAATCCAATCCAATCTAACCTTATCTATCTACCTGGCTAGCTATCTATGTTTTTTTTTTTTTAAATCATGTTGGGGGCATGGGATTACACTGCAAGCTCTACCCGGTTACCGTCTATGCCAACTCAATCGGAGGCTTCCGAGCTGCAGGTTCAACATGGCTTGAATGCACGGATCCCCCATGAAGTCCTCCTGAGAGAGAGGGAGAGGGGGCGAGAGAGAGATTACATTTTAATATTTTAGCTACCCTCTGGTAATTTAACATAGCTATTGAAAATGGCAATTTATAGTGGATTTTCCCATTAAAAATGGTGATTTTCCATTGCTATGTTAGTTTACCAGAGGGTATCTTTACTTAATTCACCTGTCTCTGCTACTTTGTTTAGACAACCATGTACGTATTATCTATCTATTCAGTTATCTATTTATGTCTGTATTTGTGTGTGTGCGCACTGTGCAGGCAAATGGACACATAGAAAGTTTTTTAATGCTAAAGAAGAACCTGGTGACCCATCTGTTCCGGAAAAGGCGGCAAAAGCTGAAAGTGTATCACCACAATCCATCCATTCACCCATGTCTAAAATAAACACTTGAGATTGAACATGAACATGTGAAATTAAACAAACATGGAGAACAGCATGTAACATAACAATGTACCCTGTGGTAAACCAACAGTTTGCTATTGAAAATGGCCATAGAAATAGTTGATTTACCCATTGAAAATGGTGATTATCCATTGTTTTTTGTATGTTTACCAGCGGGTAACATGCTGGTCATTCTGAAGATGCCCATGTCAGGTCTGCAGCTTTCAGGAGGAAGTGCGACTGTACCCTCTGGTAATCTAATCTGGCAGGAAAACCATGGAAAACCCACAATAAATCTCATTTGACGACGATCTTCTCGTTTCAAATGTTATTTCTTCAAAAAAATAAGAATTACAGTGCCTAAACTAAATCTGTTTTTCAATTAACCATATATCTTTGATAGGTAATTCATCGAACTATATGGACCATCTTCATCCATCTTCCAGCTGTCAAATTACCGGAGGGATCCCTGAAGTTGATTTGAGCTGATAAAATGGGCACGGATGGGCCCGGCTTACCCAATCCTGGACCAAACAAACTGGGGGGATCAAATGGGAATGTGCTACCCATTTTCGTGGCAACTGTGTCATACCTCGAACAATGGGCAAGATTCACCAAAATATTCAGAATGCCCAACTGTGTTTTTTCAACTACGATGGAGAAAATCCTGCACCAGCTGGATTTTCGAATGGTAAGATATGGTACGAGTAAGTGTATGAATGAAACACCGCAATTAGTGGGATTATAATGGGATCAATCATCAACTGCTGCCGGATCTTCGTTAAACCATTCACTGCACATCGCACTGCACGTCATGCGAGGATCATCCCCCAAAGAGCAACCTGAAAACATGGGCATGTGGCATGTGAATGCATGTGAAACATCATTACGTCAACATCATTACGTCAATATCAGTAGATCATGCATAAACATCCGTGGACTCCCTATGTTGGGTGCCTCAGTTGTTGGGCGTCCTGGCACACCTGCAAATCGGCGGCGGAACTCAGCAAGTCATCTGCCCACTTTTCGGGACCTGAAGGCATGGCAGCCGTGACCAAGTTCGATGGTTTAGAAGAGAATTGACCTGGCACTTCAAAGTTCCCATTTTGGGTTCAGGTTGAAGTCTATTACATAATCATGTAAATATATGGGGATGGATCAAAACCCTGGTACCTAGTGAACCCCAAAATAGCTGGGATTTATGGATGTTCATCCCACTAAAAATGTATCTATAGGTATTGACCCATACCCATATATAAAAATATATAAAATACCTCACTGGATTTGGCCATCAAGTTTTCCATCAGTTCCGTTGAGCGGAGAGCCTAAGCCTCCTCTCCGGCTCCGTCCGGCTCCGTCCGGTCCCGGAGTCCCGCCTGCAGAAGTCACTTCCCCAGGTGGTGCGGTGGTGCAGGAAGCAAAGCCACGATTCTCCAACTCACTGGCAGCGCCTGATGTCGGACTTCTTGGGATGGGGAAAAAACTATGAAAAAAAACTCACATGATTCACATGACTCATCTTAACGTCTCTGAAGAGATTTAGAGGAGAGGATGATGTTCATCTCTTTGAATCCATTTTTGGAGAAATCTTCAAAAGGAAAGTTACCATGACTAACAGTTTGCCATGGAAAATCACCATTTTTAATAGGCAAACCTCTATAAATGGGCCATTTCCCATGGCCATGTTAGTCATAGCCAGAGGGTAATTGGAAGGTTCCTGGGGAGTTAGATGATGTTAGATGATCCAGACTTGGCCCGTCCAGACGGACGGCCAACTTCAGACATCATCCGCGGATTGGGACAACATGGGACAAGCAACAAACCTGCATGATATACACGTATCTGTGCCGTATCGATGAATGTAATTCATCAAACATATATAATGGAAACAGGATGTAACAACAACAAAAATAATGGCAACTGAACCCATCGAAAGGGTACGATTTCATAACAAAGGACACCTGAAAAATAATGATGTAAACAGGAATTTCAGCAGAAATGCATGTTTTTTTTTGTTTTTTATGTGCTCCGGATGCAGCATCTGTGTGAACTTGGCAACCCTTTACCTGTCATGGGCTACGCCACGTTATGGATCAAAACCAGTAACCGCCTCCTAAACTTGCGACGGGGTGTCCATGATGCCACTCAAAGGCCAAAAATGGCGATGCAGAGTACCCGATTGCCAATGATTTTTTAAGCATTTTTTTACCCATCAACTCTGACTTTCAGAAGGATGCCTCTTACTTAAAATTTTCGTGATTCTCTCCCCAATCTCCTCTCCACATGGTCCATGACTCACTGACTCACTTTTTCCGAGCTCGACATGATCTCCTGGTCGGGGGGAACGGGGGGGGTGACTAGAAGGCAAGGCTATCGTCGGCTGCCTGAGCGGCTTCCCGTTCCTGGACGTAGGACTTGGCCGTAGGCAGGGTCGCCTCAAGGTTGGCCAAAGGCCCTGTTGGCCTCACCCAATTCTTGGTATGGCAATTTCTTAGGCATCGAAGGGCAAACATAGCCGCATTTATCAAACAAGTGCGACGATGTTTGCGCAAGTGTTGCCTAACAACATTAACAAACTAAGACCAGTTTGGCGCAAATTCTCTACTCCAATAAGAGCCAGCTTGAGGCCGTTAGCTTAACTGTTGTGGATGTTGTGGGCATGGACATGTGCGGTGAGCAAAAAATTAGTTGAGGCAGTTCACGTGCAAAAGGCCACGGCATTCTGAAAACTTAGAGAGATTAAGAGATCACCAGAGATCCACATCTACAAAGTGGGGCCCCCAAACGATAGCTAAGTTGGTTTTATATAACTCCAATAAATATGGTTTATGGTACCTATAACATCCTACAACTATGGTTAATGGGTTTATAAACCATAACTGGGGGGCCCCACATTGTACTACCCTTCTGGCAATCGAACCTGGCACTGCTGGCACTGTGAAATCCCCGTGAGTCACGGCGCGCCTCCATGTTGGTCACGAAACGTTTGTTGTTGGCACCGTGCCAGGTTTTCACCAACTTCCCTCCACAGTAGGCCGCAAACATTGGAGAGATCTTGGCCTCCGGCATGCTGTGGACCGAAATGGCCTATTATAACATATTATAACTATGAATTATGTATGTATATATATATATATTTTTGTAATATAATAAAATATAAAGTCATATCATATAATATAATATAACATAATTTAATATAACATAATATATAATATAATATATAATATATAATATAATATATAATATATAATATATAATACAATATAATAAAATATAATATAATATATTACAATATAACATAATATAACATAATATAACATAATATAATATAAATATAATATAATATAAATATAATATAATATAATATAATATAATTGATATGGATGATTATGGATGATTAAGGATGGATATTTAGGAGGACAAACGCTCAAAATCTTTTATTCTCTTTCAGAATGGAGATTCAACATGATTCAACCCCACAGGTAACCCATGGTAACCCCCTACATGTGGTTATTGCGGCTTATGAAGTAACCATCGGTGGAGACCAAACTGACATGACCTTGATATCACAAATGGCTCTGGATAGAAAATCTGACTCTCATTGCAAGCCACGTGCAGAACTTCTTTGGCATAGTGCTTGCAGGATTCATTTTCATTGCCCACAATCTTGAGAAATCGCGTCTTGGGATAGATCTTGGCGAACTTCTGGTAGCGCGGCAGGAAGGCTTTGCAGGGTTGACACCAGGTAAAGGCCAGCTTTACCACCGCGTCCTGGTCCCCAATCATGGCGTATAACTCTGCCTCGCTATGCACTTCGTTGATGTGACCCATGAGGCTGTCCGAGTCACCTTCATGTTCCTCGAGAAGGGCACACAATGCTGGTGGGGGGATGCTAGTCAAATGTGAGGGCGGCTGCAAAATTGGATTTGAGAGCTGGAAATCTTGGAGTATCTGAAAATCCGTTCGCCGTTCTCGGGAAACTTTGAAAGGAATTGGGATGAATTGGGAATACACCCTTCCAGGCCGAAGCAAACCATCAAATCACAACAAGCCTTCAAATATCTTCAAGTAAATGAAATATAATGAAATATCAAAACGGCTCAAAACACACAAACTGATCTTCAACCAGCTTAGCAGCTCAACCATTAAATACTTTTGAGGGATCCCAGCACATCATCTCATTTGCCAAATTTGACACTACCTACTCAGCCCCTCCAGGGATCGTCAAACATCCCCTTTATTTTTCCTACTGGAGGTGTCTCAAAATCGGCTGAAATATGCTACCGAATCTACTACCATCTAGAACAAAAACCTATAGATTCCTAGATCCACAGAGGATGAATTTGATGAATCTTCACTTTCTCTGGCCATCACCGGGATTTTCTTGCCATGGCAGATCCTCCATTGACCCGATCTCGGCCATGGCTCGCTGGGCGGCTGCGGCGGGGTCTCGAGGTACTTCACCACCTCGGCGAGGTCTAAATGTTCCCGCGCCAAGCCCAGGAAATCGGCGAAATCGATGCCATCCTGGGCAAATGGGGTACAGATGGGTACAGGCTGTGAATTTTCAAAGGTAAAAATTCTGTTGAAATGGCCATGACTTGGGGTATTCAGAATCTGTTATCCCCTAGCAACATAGAGAATTGAGCTGTTGAATATGGGAGAAACATATCCAGAAAAGGGGGAGTTGATGGGAGTTGACAGTTGCGTTAGGAAGAACGAAGTGTGTTGCAAACCAACAAGCGCAGAATTGAAGAGGTGTGGGTGAACAGTCAGCACTTTACATGAGAATGTGACTCAATCAATGGATATAATATGGGATAGATGACAAGGGGTTGGATACAAAAAGACACTGCAGCGACCAGGGCGTTTAAAATTTTTGCCTCATCCCCGGATCCCCGGAACTTCACCACATTTGCAGAGAAACGACTCACTTGCGCCCAGATTAACCTAAACATACCTTTATGTAGAACAACAACCATTTAAATTTAGGGTCTACTTTTAGGAATTTTAGGGGAGATAGGGGGGGGGAATTGGGGACCAGCGGGGGATTGGAAGGACATGGAGGCATGCAGCAACATAATGCACACAGGCAACAGGGACATGGGGGCATGCTGGGGCGAAAGGGGCTACCGGGCACAAGCGAGGCCGTTTCCCATTTGCACCCCAACCAACAACTACCACCAGGAACTATCGCACGTTAAATCGCTGTGACTTGGCAACCTTCACGCGTCGCCAAAGGACAATGCTTACCAGTAGCAGGATCACTTCAAAACAACAAAGTAGGAAAAACAACACCGAATAAGTAAAGAAAACAACATTAATCAACATTAATCAACCATGTCAATCAACCATGTCAATCATGCACCAGGTTTTTTCTCCATATGAGTCTTTACGTAGTCGGGCATCATGATCCACATCGGCTTCATCAACGATGCGCGTTAGCTCCTCGTTGGACATGGGCTTTCCCAGTCCTTCAAAGAGCTTCCCCAAAACGTCCTGGAGATGCTCAGCCGATGCGGAAGCATGCGGAAGCCGGCTCATTGCTGCGAACATATCTGAACCACCCCAAAACATGTACCTAAGTTCTTTCAATACAGTACAGTATAGTAATATTAATTACTTCAATGAATGGTACATGATTCATGAATATATTTCAATGAATAGACATGATTCATGATAGTCCGTTGAGAAGCATGATGCTGTACTGTTCTTAAGCCACGCTTGCGCGGAGTACAGCCATGATCAGCCCGGCTCCATCACTTCCATCATCTCCCGGCGCTACGGTCCTTGGTAATCACGCCCTGGTCGTCCACGTCTACTCCGCTGAAAGCTTTCTCGTATTCCTCGACCTTTCCTTCCAGCAGGAGTCCATCATGAGCAAGGCGCCCAAACTCCTGTGACTTCCGTGCTCTGGTGAATACACCGAAATGGCCAATGTCTAGATGATATATTGGATATTTTTACATTATTTTACCATATTTTCTACATGATATATTAGATAATTTTACCTATTTATTTGCCTGGTGATTTTCTCCGAAGGCCAGAGGATATCAGTCGTAGTGTCCCAATGGATCCAGTGGGGATTTCAGGGCCTTTTTTTACCGAAGCATTTGGATTTCCTCAAGGTTTGCAAAGGGCAAGCCCCGTACACCAAAAATATGGCTGATCTCAATCCCCTTAAAAAAATATCGATCTCGCATTCTACATCCAAAAAGACTACCGTTTCCAAAAAAATACGGTATAGAACTAGCTGCTTTTTTTGAACGTATATCACCCAAACCAGTGAAACACATATTGAAAAGTCGATCGAACATAATATCATTTAAATTCATCTAAATTCTACGTATATCGAAGCATGGCTAAAGAGCCCGTCACATGATGTCGCTAATAGCGCAGCATTTCCGCTTGGAGTCCCAGGTCCCAGCGCCTTCAAACCAATTCCATCCTTCTTCGCGTATTGCTCGTAGATCCGATCCAGGGTACTCTCTGCCAGCCAATGCTTGGACAGGCAGAAACTATCCTAGGGACGACTTTTTCACGAAAAAAAACATGTCAACAAAAATACTTAAGGAATTGAGCTGCAAATAATCCTTTAAGCAATTAATTGGATGATTAAAGTAGGCTGTAGTATACCATCAGCTACTTGGCTGGGACCCTGGATCTTACACTGTAGACCCTAAAAACGGGGTCTGAAGAAGAGTTCCATAGCTAAATCAGGAAAAACAAGCTCAGTGGTCTAGACCCTTCGACTTTACAGATGCTGAAGGTCTGAAGACGTTTACCCATGCGTCAAAAATACCAAAAAAAATGTTTCAAACAACATGTTTTCTCTCGCTCATTTTTTTCTTTGCTGCTGTCACACGTTTTTCACCAGTGCTCTTGGGCTCTTGCCATGAACATCCACACTTCAGGAATGGTGCAAATCAGAAAAATTCTGAAAATTTCAGATTTTAATTAAATTTAAATTTAAATTAAATATAATATTTTCAGAAAAAATCTGAAAAATTCAGAAAAAATCTGAAAATTTCAGATTTTCAGAAAAAACATGAAAAATTCAGAAAAATTCTGAAAAGTTCAGATTTTCAGAAAAAATGTGAAAAAAAAAGAAAATTTCTGAAAATTTCTGATTTTCAGAAAAAATCTAAAAAAAAAACATAAAAAATCGGAAAATTTCAGATTTTCAGAAAATATGAAAAATTCAGAAAAAATCTGAAAATTTCAAATTTTCAGAAAAAAATCTGAAAATCAGATTTTCAGAAAAAAATCTGAAAAAATCAGAAAAAATCTGAAAATTTCAGATTCTCAGAAAAAAATGAAAAATTCAGAGAAAATCTGAAAATTTCAGATTTTCAGAAAAAAAAATCTGAAAAATTCAGAAAAAATCTGAAATTTTCAAATTTTAAGAAAAAATCTGAAAAAATCAGAAAAAAATCTGAAAATTTCAGATATTTCAGAAAAAAAAATAAAATTTCAGAAAAAAATCTAAAAATTTCAGATTTTCAAAAAAAAAATCTGAAAAAAAAATCAGAAAAACATCTGAAAACATCAATAAGAATCTGAAAATCTTATTTAAAAAAAAATATCAGAAAAAATGAAAAATCAAAACAACATATAAATATATAATTTTCATAAATAAATCAAACTTACAAAAAAAAATATATTAAGTCACTGAAAAACAAATCTGTGTTGATCAGTGCCAGAAACGCTGTCCAGACCTCTGTAAGAACTGGGGAATCTAGCTTGGCAAAGGTCTAGAGCTACAATGGTCAGCAAACCCAACCTGTCCTGATGATTGCCAGAAACGCTGTCCAGACCTCTGTAAGAACTGGGGAATCTAGCTTGGCAAAGGTCTAGAGCTACAATGGTCAGAAAAACCAACCTGCCCTGATGATTGCCAGAAAAGCTGTCCAGACCTTTGAAAAAACAAGATCTGCCTTACATCTTCAAAACAGAAAATTATGGGACATCCATATATCATGTCCAACATAGACACGCTCAAGGGTCTATAGTACCTTAAATGCGGAGGCTCTACAGTGCTCCTGGAAGTACTCTAGACCCTGGGCCCCTGAAGCCTGGAGGCCTGGGTACTCTAGACCTTAAGTAGTTGAGGGGATGCTGTAGTGGCTTATTCTGCTCAAATTACTGTAGTCTTGATTCGCATGGGTTCGCTGAAGGTAACGAACATCAGCGCAAAAAGAACAAAAAACAAGTACGGATCGTTCCGCGGTGATCTATACGCGGTTTGCTATGGATCCGGGCATATCCGGGCTATGGATCGCTTGTGGGTTTTATAACCTTGGTCTGGACCTCAAATTTGTGAGCTGCAAACATGTATAAACACATCAGGTCACATGACTTCACCCCACTATCTCTCTAAAACCATTGAAACAAAGACTTCCGGTTTTCGGTCCAGGATGGTCCAGGCATCTGTGCATTCCAACACACTCCGAAGATTTTCACGCTTGAGTCGGGCGTTCTCTTCATTGTCGCCGTCTGCACAGGACATGAAACGGCTCTTGAGCTTCTCGCTCACCTGCAATGGGCCCACCACATGGGACCAACTGTTGATGGGGGCAACACTTAATCCATAACAAGTTGAACCAAACATGTAACAGTTTACTCCAGCAATTAATGGTTGATTCATGACATTTTCATGTTGATGCCCTTCACCTAATTTCATAGACATCCCCAGAAAGCCTGCTGAATGATCTGAATGCATTGGATCCTCGATATGTAGACTTTGAGGTCCCACAATGACGATTATCTGATTATTCAGCGGGTCCTCGGCAGTGCATCCATTATATACAGTTTATCCACGTGCATCTGGTTTATTGCCAATTCTTTGAAGTTTGGGTCAGCCCATTTTGTTTGGGTCAGCGCACGCTTCGAGCACTGGTACTTGGTGGATGGGAACATTTTGGCGTCTAGGCGAATCCTACCCCCCAATATCAAACGTTGCTCTGTAAATCCGCCCACACCGCTTTGGCGGTGAAGGCGTGCTTATTGGGGGGCAAACAGCTACACTAAATGCTCAATCACATTTGTTAATATAGCAGTCGCTATATCAGCTTTAGCTGGGGGGGGCAAAAACGGTTTCGCACCGAGACCAGAATACGGTGGTGTTTTCGACATTTTTCGAGGATTTTTGGGTGTCTGAGCGCAAGAGGGTATTGAAATGGAATTTTGGGTCATTTTGGTAGCTTTCCGGCAATGGAAAAACGGCCAAAAATGAAAAAAACATTGTACATAGCAAGATTTTGCAGGGTTTTTGGATGCCAGAGCATTGAAAACACTGCAAAAACAAGTGTTTTGGACTGACGTTATAGCAAGAAACGTGTAAATTACCGTATGCTTGACTGGAAACATTACAAACACACTGTCAAAAGCAATGTTTTGGAAGGATTTACTGCCTTTATGGCAAAAAACATGTCAATTACCGTCTGTTTGACTGGAAACATTGGAAAAGCACTGTCAAAAACAATGTTTTGGAAGGATTTCTTATATATATGTTGGAGTTGGCTACCGGCATTGGAACATGGAAAAATTGAAGAAAACACTGTAAATAGCGGTATTTTCAACGGTTGGGGAGATAAGGGAATTGGAAGCATTGTCGAACATGATGTTTTCGACCGGTTTTATGGCGACAAAAGTGTAAAGTACCGTGCTTTGAAGGAAACCATTGCAAAAACATGGAAACACATTCAAAGAACACGGGATTTGGGGGATTATCTAGGCGTCGTTGTCTAGCTATTTGAAATTCCGCAGCTTGGAGAGCCTCCAAGGGAGGGAAAAGTGAAAATTCCATAGCTTGGGAAGCTGTCACGGCGGGGAAAAGTGAAAATTCCCTAGCTTGGGAAGCCCCCACAGGGGGGAAAAGTGAAAATTCCCTAGCTTGGGGAGCCCCCACGGGGGGAAAAGTGAAAATTCCCCAGCTTGGGGAGCCCCCACGGGGGGGAAAAGTGAAAATTCCCTAGCTTGGGGAGCCCCCACGGGGGGAAAGTGAAACTATTCACGAACCCAGCAGTTATGTATGTCAATTCTCCTGTGCTGCTCTGCTCCTCATATTCCACACCACCCTTAGCCCCTCTCACGGACCGAAATAAACCTGCGGTGTGGGCGGCCACCCCACGCGAAGCGGGGTGAATATCACATAATATCACAAGATATCCCAAAATGGTGACCCAACATTCGAATAGATCACAAAAGATCTACGAATCTACATTCCACTCGGGTTTTTATATAGTTTCAGGGGATTTCTAATGATTTCTACATATTTCTAGTGATTTCCATGTGCATGTCTTTTTGACATATCTCCACCTCTGGCTCCACATGGCCAAAGGGCCAGAAACGACGCGAGGTTGGGATGGTGTTCCGCAACCAACGGGCTCCACGGGGAGTGAGGAACGGAAGGCCGGAAAACAGACCCTGCGAGTTTCGTGTCATGGAGTATGGAGAGCAAAAAGTGGAGTGCTACTTGGAGGATCATCCAGCATAAGTCTCCCTAACTAATTCAACTATGTTCAACTATGTTCAACTATGTTCAACACCTTAGAAACTATAAGCTTAAAACCGACCAACTATAGCATACTGATGCACTGTAAGCCCAGTTCCTGGAATGTGACTCAGATTGATTAGGGGTGGATGAGACCACCAGGCTCAAGCTGCCCGGAAATGTGACATGGCCATGGAAAACTCCAAGTTCTAACCCGAAAAAAACATCTACACATGGGTGATTCTTGATTGCCATATCAGATTTGATTCTATACCAGAGGCTACCCTTGGAACTGGCAGCATGGAACAAGCACAAATGAGGACCTCAACATGCTTCAATCAATGAAAAAAGCAGCACTTTTTGCTGGAAAAAATCCATGGACATTCCATTTAAATGATAGATGCCAAGGGTCATTTATAAAAGCCAAAAGGAACGAAACCATGGCAGCTCGTGCTAGCCATCCATGCCCTTGCACTCGAAGGCGCGCCATTGCACAAAGGCAAAATCAAAAATGGAGCCAGTAAGATCCAGTAAAGTCCCATTTTTGAAGGTCAGGTCACATATGTCACATATCATACATGGTTCCACATTTGTTCCAATTCACATGCATCAAGCTAGGTTTTGACCCTGGCGGTTTCGGAATGTTTCGGAACATGTTGGAACCAAAGACACGTAGAAAATTTGCCAAAAATCAAGACATGGCCACAGAGCGGATACTGTTGGTTGGTCCATGTTTAAAAACAGAACTGTCAGCGATCAGTTGTGCAACATTGAGCCGTTGCGCCAAGCAGTCGCTTGAGTTGGGTGGTGACCATCGGACTTTGATGAAACTCATGGGACACTGCCCTACCAAAGACATCTAGGACGACAAGAATGTGCTTGTGATTCTTCACCAAAGGGGGAAAGCACTGCCATGATAATGATAGTTACCCTCTGGTAATTTAACATAGCTATGGCGGCCAAATCACCATTTTTAATGGGAAAATCCACTATAAATGGTCATTTTCAATAGCTATGTTAAATTACCAGAGGGTAGTTAGTTTGTTGATCACCTCTGAAATTCAGGTACCTGAGCTCTGAAACTACAGTACGCCAAATCAGCCCTCAAGCCTGTAAAACACTCGGCATCACACATGGCTTTGCCCTCTTCAATCCGGCTGCTCCCTGGGCAGGGGAAGCCCCATTTGCTGCCGCGGCTTTCTATCCCCAAGCGATATTAATCCAAGCGATATTAATCCAAACGGTACGATTCAATCCGATCATCATCTTTCAGACCTCAAGATCTTTAGTTTTCCCTTGTCTCTTTTGTTGTCCCATTAGAGTTCATCACGTCTTCATCTCGCCGTTTCAAAGCCATGTTGGGTGATGCAATTTCCCATGGATCAATGGAGTCAATCTTCCAATCGGTGCACCTGTACATCCGCCTGTGCACTTCTGCAAAGCCTCATCTGAGGACTTGGCCTGGCGAGGAAACCCAGCGGCCAGGCTGCCCCTAAGAAGGCCAAGATGTTTTCATGTTTTTTCAACTTCAACGCGGCCCAATCTATCCCTTTAAGGATTTCATCCGGCTAATGTTGTTTCTCTTGTGCCATATTCATAGGCTTCCATTTGCACACAAACATGCATAAATGTACGCAAGTGCCCAATCCTCGGTTCAAGTCAGCATGATTTCATGATTTAGAATGGGTTTCTACTCCAACGCACCACCAACTAAATGCTGAGCTTGTTCCTTCGTGTTGGTCAAACCCCAGCTTTAAGCTTTTGGCTGCTTGAAATGGTGACACCTTGTGTGCAACCATGATATGGGTGTATTATTTGGTTGGTGTTGTTGTTCTTGTCGTTGTCGTCATCGTTGTCGTTGTTGTTGTCGTTGTCATTATTGTTGTTTTTCTAGCCACAGTTACAACAAGATACTGTACAACAGTTGAAAATACACACACACACCATTAACCCACCTTTACCCAGTTGTCATCTCCAACAGCCAAAAAAAAAACGTGCCTCAGTCCAGGTTCGACTACACTGGCTGGAAGCTAGGCCCTTAATGATCTGCACGCTGGGCCTGCGGAGCTGTTGGATGCTCAACGATGCCCTTTTGGAAAAGAATGGAGGTGCCTGTTTGGTCTCTTATCTGGTTTCCATGAGAGGAGAAAAGGACATCTATGGAAGTTGAAGCTCTTATGTTGAGGAAAGAAACATGTTTTTCCGCTTAATTAAGATGCTAACATTGAATCCATCCATTGAATGTATATATTAGTAACATTTAGTAACTAACTAAATAAATATATATATATAATATATATATTAAAATTGGGCTATAGTACTATAGATGGTGAAACAGCTTAACACTAGGATATATCCAGGCATGTATCCCAATATTTGTGGCTAAAAAATGCACATCTGTCCAAACATGGAGTGCAGTACCCTGACATCCACCATTGTTGGACAAACCAATGCGGCCAAATGCCACCAGTCACACAGACTCTATCATTGATTTTGTGGTTGTGGTTGAAGGAGCCAACAAAATATAAAAAAAAAAAACATGCCTAAATAGGTAAGTCGGCTGGTCAACCAAGCGAGCCGTAGGGTTTACGGCGGACATAGGGTTCGATGAGCTCAACCATCCTTTTTCATGGAGGTGACCAGTCCTTGTATCGTTTTCGGCCACCTCCCAGCCTGGCCTCTCTTGACACCGGTTCTTCACAAAGGGACAACCACGGCCCCTGCCCCAGTGAACACAATCAGCATTGCCTTGGCATAGCCAAAAGTATGCAAGCAATCAAGCACTAGTGGCACTAGTGGTCTATATGTCGGATTCTCCAACCTCTTAGAACTATGGACGGCAATCATATGCGCGGGATAGTAAACTCATGTTGACATCCCCGTCATCAGCAATCATATGGTACGGAGAGAAAAACTCGTTGTGTTGACGTCCCTGTCATGCCCTGGGGTGTGGGGGGAGGGGGTAATAACGTCGATCAATATACGCGAAGCAGTACGAGACTTGCAATTGATGTGAGAAGCGATAATGAGCAGCGGACGACGTGATGAGCAGTTGGTGATGCAACCATTTGGAGACTTTTTTTGTCACGAAAAATACATGAAAACAGCCCAGGTGAGAGATAGTTAACACGGTAGTACCGTGATATAATGTCATATAAACCTGTACCTACAAGTACACATTCAATCCGTACAGTAATTGCAAATAGTACACAATGAAAAAGCATCCATTGGACATGTTTTTTCCGAGAGGACAATCACCTTGCAAACCCAATCTTTGTAGAAATCGTGTTGTTGTGTGTCCATGTTAGTTGTGAAGCCGGTACCCAAATTGGGCTGGAAACATTAAAAGTGGACCAGGCCTTGTCATATGATTGGATGTGGTCATAAGGCCATGATCTGGCCATATCATGCCACCTGTGCATCGTGAATTTCAAGGCTTTTTATCAACTCCCAAAAAAAACACAGTCTGCTAGCGTCATCCGTATCATCCGTATTGAAACGCACGTGTTTGGTCATCAAATCCGTGTTCTACACCATAGCCATAGCCACTCTTCCCATGTTTGCCCATCAAGGCACCATAGCGGGCCAAATAGTGCCCCATGTCCTCAAAGGATGCCAAGGTAATGGCCGACACCGCGTCCCCATCGCCGTAGGACATGACGTCGTCCCGCATGACGCGGGTCTCGTGGTGAGAATCGCGGCCGTGGGTGGGCCAACTCATTAAGGGAAGACCTTGCCACTGGTCCTGCACACTCGCCATCACTCGCCAAGTTGCTTTGGGTTAGAACTATCATGGGATTGAAGGGAACATTTCACAGGAAACATCAGCTTTTCACCATCAAAACATCCTTGGAACCAATTCCAGTGAAACTTTTGGATTTATGGTTACCTGGTTAGATTTATGGTACATTAATATCGAAGAAGTTATGTTTCAAAAACCCCAACTTATGATTGGGGGGCTCCACCTTGTAGGATGTCGCATAAAAATGACCTAAGGTGTCTACAGAATTGGACATTATTACTTCTTCCACTAGTTGCGATAGTAATTGTGCGGATATGGCATCTCGTGATTTATCTCATTTGGAGAAAAACAAAAAAAAAAACATTAAACACTCAATGAACTTTACCACGGTTACCACTGCAAGAACAAGGCCAATTGAGGGGTGCAATGGAGTGCACATGGTGTCGAAGCTGTAGTTACTGTAGATCAGTTTCTCAGCACGCGATTTTCTGCTTTCCTTGGGTGCCCCACTTATGTGCACTGTCCACACGATGTCAGAAAAATCAAAACCATTGAGCCATCTGACAACTGAAAGGTCCTCATCATCACATCCAAAGTACTCCTTGGCAGCCTCGTACGTACCTTGTTCGGATTATCGGATTGGATCACTACTGGGACTGTGCCTCCATCTGATTGGAATGTTACTTAAAAACAAGAAAAAACATAGACAACATCCAACATCCTCTGAAAATGCCTTTAGCATCTCCAAACACCTTGAATATCAGGGCTCAAAATTCTACATGATCTAAGCTTCTAGTTTCATACAAGTTGGAGGACGTTCGAGCCCTGCAATTGGTTCATATTTATAGGGTGACTAACTCTGCAAAACACTTTACTATGTTTCGCTGCAAGGGACCCCCATATAGTCAAAACAAAAAGCAAACAATGTGTCAAGCATTAACGTCCATTGACCACCTATACATCTATAGCACCATATGCCAGACCATATGCCAGCTATATGCCAGCTATAATCAGCACCAAGAAAGTTGATCCCATGTGGCGGAGATTTTTCTCCCAGGTCACGTGTGCCCTTCACAAAGTGATAGATCACATCCTCCGAACCATCGGCATCCGTCACCTCGCCAAGGATGCGGATCCCGATGGATTTAAGAGACTTGGTGGGATTGATGGGGATTATCCAGCAAAATTAAAGATTGATCTGGGATTGACATGTATATATACATATATATATATATAAATTATATACGGTATATATATATATATATAGACAACATATGTATATATATATAGTTTACAGCTTTAATCAGTTGGCACTCTACCAGCAACAATGATGATGCAGAAGCATCGCTCAAAGCCTGGTGTTGAATTTGATCGTCAGTCAAGGATCATCCTAGCTCACTTGGGCTGAATTCAGCATTTCTAGTTCATCATCGCAGATCGGGTGGAAAATCAGATCACCTACAGTATAGGATACGGGTGGTGAAGCCACCCGCATCCTATGGGATTCACGTATATGTTTACATAAACAATAGCTGGCATATAGCTGGCACACATCGGGTTTGGGTGGATCCAATCCCATGAAGAGAAATTGGCACGAAATGACGTTAGGTTCTAGTTCTTTGTTCTCAATTGATTGATTCAGCTAACCCCCCAAGTCCTTGACGGTTGCATGCCAATGTTATTTTTCGCCTCCAATCCCTTCAAAATCTTCAAACCCCCAGTTCCACAAACGTATATGTGGATAACTGTTCGTGTTTCACTGTGTTTCACCTCAAAAACATCTTGGCCCATCTTGGGATAACTAAGTGACGTCGGGACGTGAGGTCATGATGTTTTGTATCTCCAGAAGTACGAAACAAAACATGTTGCAGATTGAAAAAGCCCCTATCCAGATCCCTATTTTCTTGGTAGCATCCCTGTCCCCACAAAAATCATAAAATCCCATGATTACCATGGGGGAAAATCTCCCAGCCCGGCCTTCAGCTGCTGGATGATGGTCCGTCGCTTGCCGTTGGCATCAAAGGCATCCAGCCAGCCACCGGAGCCAAAGCCCAGGCCATGGAAGAGCTCGTGGATCACCAGGCCTGGGGATTTTGGGGGATGATGGGCCTGAAAAGAACGATGAAATGAACGCCAATGAACATCAAAAAACATGGCACAGTCAATTCTGGTCTATAAAAACTGGTTGGTGGTTTGAACCCCTCTGAAAAATATTAGCCAGTTAGGATGATTATTCCCAATACATGGAAAAATAAAAAATGTTCCAAACCACCAACCAGAAAAACAATCAATGCTTTCTATAGAAAAAAAAACAATCAATGAACATCATTGTTAAAATCCTTGACACCATGGATGACAATGACGGGCCCATCTGATTACTGTCATCTTTCCATTCCCCAGCAACAATCCGACTAGGTACAGTGTCTCATAATGTCTCATATACTTACCAGTTACCCTAACTGGTGCCGTTTTTTTTCCATCCACTGTATAAATAAAGTATGTATCAGACAGTATGTACCAAGTGTGGCTCACAACATCAATCCATTCACAAAGCATTTTCACAGGGTTTTCGAACTCGCAGCTCCTCGTTGTGATGCTAGCAGGGCAGCGCGCGGGTGAGCAGTGAAGTCGTAGCGAGCATACCAGTTGAACACCAAATGCACGGGTCTCCGGTTCCTGAAGTTGCTGATTTCTGATCTTTCTATAAATAGCAACCCAAAAAAACTAAAGTTGGTAAAATACTAGGAACATAGTGACAAGTTACTTTTTTATCTGCTTTTTATCAGTAGAATCACTGCCAACCTCAGATACTCTGCTAGAAGTTGTTTCGGTCTCATTTGGTGCCCATCCAGTTGGTATCCCCAGTAGGAGACTTTCAACAGGAAATGGACATCAACCAGCCCCGGCTGAGTGGCTGAAAAACACCATAGTTGTCTGGGTGTGTTGGGGTGATTCCGGTGATTCCTGGCTGGTGCTTTCAACATCTTTCAACCCAGAAAAAAATGGTGGGTATGATTCATTATGATGGGAACATGACTTTCAAAGAAGTGACAGTGGAAATCAGGATATTGTGACAAAAAGCTGATGAATGGATAATGATAATTATCACATGGTGGGTTTCCCTACTGTCAGTAGATGTTCCAATATTCCAATCCTTGTCTTGAATTTGATTTGGGACTGTCCTGAGTGGAATGCATCTCGTTTGTCAACCCCATGGAACACATGCAAATGCACAATTGAATGTCCATGCCCACAAGCACACACAAAGATGGAAAACAACAACATACAGTACATGAGAGATATCTGGACTAGACAATTCCAGATACAAAGATTAACGTGGTAAATCCAAAAGTAAACCATCTCCATTTCCATCACATTTTTTTGTGTTTTTTTATAGCTGGTTTTCCAACGGCATACGGACGAACTTCTTGGCTGAGCCTCTGGTCCGACGAACAAGATCCTCCCGTGCCCCCAATGCCCGGAATTGGGGATGGGCCGGTCATACTCACCACGATATCTGCTTCAGCACCCGTCTCACAGAGGGAATCCTGGTGGCTAAGCTTTAAGCGGGGGCGTCAACACTTGAGAAAAATAGCCTACAGTGATAACCTCCATAGAATAGGATATAGATATGATATAACATGATATTACCCCCATATGATAGAATATGTGACCATATGTTCACTTATAAATTATAACTGGAACTGCGCCCTGTAGTTTCGGGCAGTCGAGCCGCGGGAAAGTACTGCTCTGTGTCCCCACACGGATACCATTTATGCAACATCCCGAAAGGTACACCAGTCATAACTTGGAAACTCACTAGCCATAACCTCACGTTATTGTTCCAGCAATTTGTCCAACATTTCATCTAACATAGATGTGACATGAGGTCTAGCGTCCGCATCATCTCTCACCACAATCTGCACAAGTTCAAATCGCCACGCTAAATTGACGGTTTCTGAAATGTCAAACACTAAGTCAGCTCCTCCATGAGCTCATGAGGTGACCAGCGGAATAAGTATGAGTAAGCCATGACTAAACAGCCTTAAAATAAATATTCATATATACATACATATATATACATATAAATACACACACATATATATATATATAATATGTGTGTGTGTCAAAATATACAGTCAATATATGATTATAAATTATTATTATTATATTATAGTGTGTTTACACTCAATTTTTCACTTGGATTATAAGTGTGCCATTGTCGATAGCTATGTCAAATGATCAATGGGGTAATCCTCATCACCAACCAGCCGAGTCACAGGCACCACCACATGCGCACCTTTGGTGCAATCCGCATCGCAGAAGACGCCCTGCTGATTGGTGGTGGTCCACATGGCTGGATATGAACCTGAGAAGTCTGCATCTGCTTGGCAGCTGGGGATCTTGTATCTCTAGAATCTTATTAAAGCAATAGTCAACTATCCCCAAATCGACATTTTTGTTTATGGGTGGTTTTTGATCCATCGATTTATTGGTTTATGACATTGCTTGACCAACATTACTCAACTTTATAACATACTAAACACATATCTGCAGTAGATCCGTTTTGGGTTGATGTCCAAATGTCTCGTGATCAGTGATGATGTTCTATTTGGGACAGTGGAGGGGCCGTTGCTTTGACATATCCTTGGTCAATGCCCATTGGTTGTGAACACTTGCCATTGACACCTCCACCAATTTGCCTCGAAAACGGGGAAACAAAACATCTATCCTGTGGCAATCGAACAGCTCGCCATGGAAAATGATGGAACATGTTCATGTGATGGAACATGTTCATGGCAATAATAGGCAAAGCATCTACACACTGACAATTCTCAGAATTAAACAGGCTACGCGCAAGATCGTCTAAGAACAATCCGCAGCACCAAAGAGATTCTATCACTACAAGGCAGCTCCCTCGAAACCAGTCCCAACAGTTCTCAAGCTCTCAGCCGATGAACAGAAACTGCGCTAAACTCCTTGGCGATTCTGATCCCAAAAACTTATCTTATAATATCTTATATAGCCCAAAAGTGTTCAAAAGTACCTCAATTTTCTACGCCCAAAAGTTGTGCATCGGTGACATGATCCCGACACGTCCGCGACGAGTGACCTTCGGACTTGGAGAAGACCAAATTTCCCTCAGTCCAGGACTGGAGGATCCGAAAATATCCGAAATTGGCACGTCAGCAAACAAAACGTGTGTCAAAACCATCGGCCAAAGAATAAGACTGTAGGCAACTGTAAGAAACTCTTCAAAATCAATTTGTTGGTCCGGTCCATTCCTGCAAAAGTGGACATGTTCTGGCTTTAGCGAAACATATCCTTGAATTAAGCCCAAAATCTGTGCTGGCTCTATGCAGTTGAGTGTCCTGAACAGGTTTCACTCTAAGATATTTGGCAACCTCCGTGCCATAGCTGTTGGCTGCCTCAATCACAAAGTTTCGCCATTCCTCCGTGATCACATCCTCCGCCGTGCATAGACACCATTTGTTCCTTGGACCAGCTGAGCCAGTGGCTCATCCCAGTCTGTAAGTGGGTTATAACCCCCAGTTAAATAGGGTAAGCAGGGCTAGTCCAGTCGAAAGTGGGGTTACCGTATATATAAGTTATATAATTCCATCCTCCTAAAATTGAACACCACCCCAGAAACCATCGTTTGGTATGAGATTTCCGCAGTACATATTTGGGAAGATTTGGGCGGTGTTTACTATTGTTTATATAATCATGAATAATATTAGGGGGATGGGATTGAACCCCAGTTACCAAGTTGGGCGAACCACCAATCACATTGGACAGAAACAAGTGAGAGCAACCAGGACTCCTTGCCTTCACCCTGCTGTTCTTCTAATATGTCTGAATCGTTCTCCTCTAAGTGCCATGTCCCGGTGCTATGAAACCATTTGGAGGTTCCTGCAAATGGGAGTATATACCAAATTGGATGGTTTAATAGATAATCCTATTAAGATGGATGCTTTGGGGGTACCCCCATTTCAGGAAACCTCCATTTAATTAACTTTACAAATACATCTGCATCCCGAAAAGAAGGCATTGCCTCTTCAATCATGTCCCTTGCAATCCCTTTGGACATTTGCCTTCTTGGGAAGTGCTAGGGCCTGGAAGTGGAGCTGCACAATTCTCCATCCGAAGCTTATCCAACCGAATGTATCAAATTTCCCCAGTGGTCCCAAAAATGAACAACTCCAATTCGTTCCAGGCTTTTGTTTCGAGATTTGGATGTATTTACAATGTATTTGGTGTGGATATGTGATGATATGTGTGGATGGTGGATGGGATTCCCATGGATTCCCCGGTTTTTTCCAAGATTCTCATGAAAAATGTTCAGCCCAACAGCTTGTCTGTTGCAGTCATCAGGCCCAGGCCCTGATGGCTTGGGATCGGTGGGAAAGTTCACCTGGGCGGCTGATCGGTGGATGTTTTTTGCGGCCGATCTTTCTGAACGGAAGGATGTACCCAACAAACATTAAAGGGAAAAGACATGTGACATGGATTGGCATGGTGTTTTTATGGTGTTTTTCTTCAATCTGGTTTTAGTAAAAGGGTATACGGTATTCCCCCTGGTGCTACTTCAAATTGCCTACGACTGACTTCATGTCGTGGCCTATCACCCTCCAATTGCCCAGAAATGGTCTTCGACTGGCCTTGTGTATGAACGGCGCACACGGAGAAACAGCGGCCAAGTTGCAACTGTTGCCAAGGGAACAACACATAACAAAACTCATAAAATGATGGGGTGTACCACTAGATCTCCCTATGTACATCTATGTACCCCATTCGAACACCATGAAAAAATACGAAAAACACACACAAAACTCCAACACGGTGCAACCAATTAGACTTTACCAGTCATTCAAGCGCAAGAAAAACATAAACTCCCCCATTTAAAAAAAAAAACAGCAAAATGGTGTTCAATTCTCACCAGTGACTCGATACCAGTCGCCAACCCTAAAGCAGTATCTATCCTTCACCAGCGGGTTCGCTTGGACCTTCTCCTCATACCTCGGTGGCGTTTGGTTCTGAAAAATGTGGGAAACTGGGAAAATGACATGGTTAAAACCATGGTTAAAACCATGGTTAAAACCATGGTAAAAACCCCAAACAGAAAAAAAGAGTCAACTGACAGATTGATCCGAACTGTTCATCTTGGATTCGGGAAACAAAAGTCACCATGAGCTGTTGGCAAGCCCTACAAATTGTTGACCCAGAAACTGGGTATCGCTATTTAACCGAGCTATGACATCTCTGCGCGACAGCTTTTTGCGCTTATGATCTATCACTGACAGCTACCATCTGGTTATGACTAACAGTTTGCCATGGAAAATCACCATGCTATTAATGGGTAAACCATCTATAAATGGGCCATTTCCCATGGCTATGTTAAATAACCAGAGGGTATATTGAAAGTCCCACATTGCAACTGACAGGTTTTGACTTTTGTCACATCTATAAAGCCATTGCGCCAGCACTTCCCACAGTTGTTGCCTTCCCTCCTGTTGCCGAAATGTTCTCTCTCAAGCCCAGGGCCAATCTGACAGTTGGAAAAGCAATCAATTCTTAGCTGCTAGGCATTCTAGATCTCCGATATTCATTTCAAAAACATCGCCAAAATCAAAGCCCTACCGAAATGTCCCAGGTAATATATGGTAATATCAGTTAGCATCAGTTAGCCATGTTAGCTGTCTTAATCTGAATCCCAAGTGGCAAGGTATCGAAATGGAAATGCACACGGATCGGTGCAGTGTTGGACTCGGTCAGAGTGGTGTCTTGCAAGCGCCGCCCTGGGCTGCCCCGGCGGTACTTCTGCGGGTGCTGCGTTCGCGTGTAGCCGTATTTCGCGGCCTCTGGGGGGGTCTGAAGGGCGCAAATGGCTGGAAGACATGACCACTGTGACCACGGTGTTGAGGGAATGAAATGATCTGAATGTCATTTTATGGATGAAAATGACAAGGTTTACTTCTGGTGTTTCACCTTTAAAGATCTATTACTTATGGTTTTTTCCCCCTGATGTTCCCTTATTACAAGTAAGGTGTGATCTTTTGTACATATTTGTACCATATGAGGTCAAAACTGAGTACCTCAAAACGAGGTGGTCTAGAGTTCGAAATGACCAAAGACCTTGCTTTCCTGAATCTGAGATTGGAAGCCATTTTACACCAAGAAGATCGAAATGAATTATATAGGTTTGTCAACGTCATTCCAAATCCACAAAAATCCTGTGCACCTTCATTGAATAGCATCATGATGGGATCAACTGCCTCCAATTCTATCAGTTGAGAGGAAGAGTCTTGACAGCCTTCACCATTGTTCTGATGCAGTAATGGAATTGAACAATAGATCAAAATTTGTCACCTTGCATTATGGCGACATGCCTTGGTTGAATACCCCAATCCTTTGACGGCGGCCATCCGGGTGCCCTCACAGCAGGCACTGAACCTGATTTCGATATGGTTGTTTGCTTGATCTCGGTTCAGTTTCGTTGTATGTATGTGTGTCTAAGATTGTGTAAGTCTATCATGCCCAAGCATATGGCCCAAACATATGGGTTGGTGAGGTCAAGTCACACTGATCCTAGATCTCCTAGATCTTTAGGCAAGGCACCACCTGATCTAGGAAGGGCTTTGGCGAGAAACCCCGCTTGGGAACGTCATTGTTCGACAAACGTCGGGCCAGGTCAGCATTTGCTCGTTGGTTCTCTGCATGTAACTCCTATTGTCATTGGCGAAAAAGACAAGGATTGAAACCATGTGTTTTTCTACGTTAAAACTGGCATTTCTTTGCAATCATAAAATCTTGGGACTGAAAACATGTCTGAGTTCCCTATTTTCAAGAAGCATCCAAAAATATCCATGAAATTCCAAGGGTGTTGGTCAAAGATTGCCGGCCTCAAGAAATCTTGAATCCATTGGTTTCAATTTGGGCATGTCAGGGGATGCCCGAGCAAATCATGTGACCTACTGATCTGTACAGAACAAACCCGATTGGCCGTCAACGTGGCGAACATATAATACCCTTCACCATCCTTCACCCGATTCTTCCTTTTTCAGGTAGATTGAATCGTATTTCATGACTGCAATACCTGCTAGCATCCATGATGCATCTAGCCTCAAGCAGCTAGACCCCACGTCGCCCTACCGAATGGACAGCTAGCCGAAACGACCCAGCCCGATGGCTCAATTTGGCTCAATTCAGCTTCCAATGGGTCCAGAATCTCAGAAGCATCATGCCATCCCCAGTCCTTCAAAATCATTTTCGCCACATGCACACTTCGCACATCGCGCTTCGCAAGCCGTGCCTGTGAGTTGCTTTTCCCAGAAGCTGAGAATATGATCATGTTCCCCATATAATCCCCATATCAAGATTCTCGATTTGCCCTAAACATCATGATTTGTCCTCAAATCGAGAAAAACAAGTGTTGCATTGCGACAAGCGTCCGGTAATCAAACATGGCTAGGTGGGACATCACCCATTTAGTTCGGTGATTTCCCAGCCTCTGTTTCATTGTCGAAGGGTGGTATCAAAAAATAAGTCTTATAATGCAATGTTAGTAAAGCAATGATAAAACACCTATATTAGTTGATGATTGTTGATGATTGTTGATGGTTTATAGCACCCATTTATGCTAAAATTGGGGACCAGCATTCACCAACGAGATGCTTCTGACAGCAAAATCAGCGCGAGGCAAAGGCGAAGCATGGCCATTGCTCCTCGCCGCCCCTTTGCGCCCCGGGAGATGAGTCTGAGCGGGTGTCAGACCACCTTGAAGGAACCTATTAGCACGGTTGAACAAAGCACAATGCAAATGCAAATGGTGTTGATCATAATGGGATTATGGTATTATGGTATTAACCGTTATTAACCATCACTATGATATACTATGATTATGATCATAATGGGATTAGATTGGGATTAGAATGGGATTAAGCATCATCCCCAACTGGTGCAGAATTTATTCCGCCCACAAGTGTCCACAGTATCATTTGATTCATTTGGTTCGTGCGAGAAGCAAAGCTGATGACATGTGTCAGTGATCCATGCCTCTGCCACACTGCTACACAGGATCATGCAAGAAAAAAAACAGACTTCACAAGTTGCAGGCACATACACCATGAAAGTTGGAGACAACCCTGCTTCTTTTGGTTGTCCTTTGGCTTATTGCAAGTTCATATCTGGGTTTCAATCATGATTCACCAGCTAGTTGGATTTGTCTGGATTTCCTGACTGATTTCCTGAGCCACACCAAACATCACCCAGCTGGGCTCAAGCACAGTTCTTCAGATCTGCCAAAGCCTGCTGATACCTGAGCACAGCGCAGCACAGCACCGGCAGGGCCTAGTGGCCTGGCTCGCTGCGGCTGCGGCTGATGACCACCGTCCACGTGAAAGAGGTCGAAGTGAACATCTGGCTGCTGCCGATGGAAGCTTGGCCTCAGCTCCATTGATGCGAAAAACCTGTCCGGGTCAAAGGCAAAAGGCCTTTAGGATAACTTAAATTAACTTAAGGCTCTTGTGAGAAAAGTCAAGTCACAAAGAAACCAACTGCCGAGCCCACTCTACAAGCATCCAAAAAGCATGCAAACACTGACTCTCAGCAAACTGAGTCTGTTTTTTGAAAGAATCCTCTGGAGGAACACACTTGGATTTTCCATTAAGTTACGTTGACGTTGCTCATGGGTTTAAACCTCGCAGACTTCAGCCTCTTTTGGTACTTGAGCTACACACCGTCTCAATAGTCCAATCCATTAATCCATGAATTTAGATGGCTGGATGGCAAAGTCATGGACCAAATTTTTAGAGGTGCAATGTGGCAAAACCAATCACAAACCTCCACTTTTGGTGCTTAGTTTTTATGCAAAGCCGCAAAGCGTTTCTGGTTTACATGGGGTTGGTGGTCGGGTTTTACCACACTACACCACAAAATATGTGCCAAAACTGCAGAGGTGATTCCCTTTTTTTTCCCCTCTCTCTCTCTCTCTCTGTCTCTCTCTGTCTCTCTCTCTCTCTCTCTCTCTCTCTCTGCAGGCTTAGGCTTAGCTCCAACGCTGCCTCATACCCTGGTGCTACATATATATATATATATAATATGCTATATTGTGTATGGAATGGGGATGGTTAAAGCGGAAAAAAAAACAAACAAACATCCCTGCCCCAATTGCACTGAATCCATAATACACATGTATATATAATATAATATAATATAAAATAATATAATATAATATAATATGATATAATATGATATGATATAATGTTAAATAATATTGTCATATATTTTCTGCATCTATTTTTTGTGTGTCTAATGTTGATAGTATCATTCCAACAAGTACAGTATGGAATACATTATATCTATGGCACACGGTGCACAAACATTCTCTTTGGATTAAGTATGTAACAATATATCTAACATTATGTGTGTCATAGTCGCAACCTAGTATTTATAGCACAAACATATAAATAAAACTGCATAACTCATAACATCATAGATAAAATCACATGTGAATCATTGAAAACCCGATTTAGTCCGATACCCTCCAGTAATTTAACATAGCTATGGAAAATGGCCCATTTATAGATGGGTTTACCTATTAAAAATGGTGATTTTCCATAGTTATGTTAGTTTACTGGAGGGTAAACCTCCATTTTCCTATGGTAAACCAACATTTCCCCAAGATCTTCTGTCACCGCACGGCACACGGAGACAGGAGGCAAGGTGTTGGCACTGGAGCCCTCCACCAATTCCAGGCCTGGAAGGTGTCACAGTGCCTTGAAAAAACATGGGTGGCCTTGGTGGGGACCTTGGATTCGTCTTACAATGCCAGCTTTGATGTTAGTTGATGTTAGCTGATGTTAGTTGATGTTAGTTGATGTTAGTTGATGTTAGTTGATGTTAGTTGATGTTAGTTGATGTTAGTTGATGTTAGTTGATGTTAGTTGATGTTAGTTGATGTTAGTTGATGTTAGTTGATGTTAGTTGATGTCAGTTCATGTCAGTTCATGTCATGATGTCAGTTCATGTCAGTTGATGTCAGTTCATGTCAGTTGATGTTAGTTGATGTTAGTTGATGTTAGTTGATGTTAGTTGATGTTAGTTGATGTTAGTTGATGTTAGTTGATGTTAGTTGATGTTAGTTGATGTTGTTTAGTTGATGTTAGTTGATGTTAGTTGATGTTAGTTGATGTTAGTTGATGTTAGTTGATGTTAGTTGATGTTAGTTAGTTGATGTCATGTTAGTTGATGTTAGTTGATGTTAGTTGATGTTAGTTGATGTTAGTTGATGTTAGTTGATGTTAGTTGATGTGTCAGTTGATGTTAGTTGATGTTAGTTGATGTTAGTTGATGTTAGTTGGTGTTAGTTGGTTGTTAGTTGATGTTAGTTGATGTTAGTTGATGTTAGTTGATGTTAGTTGATGTTAGTTGATGTTAGTTGATGTTAGTTGATGTTAGTTGATGTTAGTTGATGTTAGTTGATGTTAGTTGATGTTAGTTGATGTTAGTTGATGTTAGTTGATGTTAGTTGATGTTAGTTGATGTTAGTTGATGTTAGTTGATGTTAGTTGATGTTAGTTGATGTTAGTTGATGTTAGTTGATGTTAGTTGATGTTAGTTGATGTTAGTTGATGTTAGTTGATGTTAGTTGATGTTAGTTGATGTTAGTTGATGTTAGTTGATGTTAGTTGATGTTAGTTGATGTTAGTTGATGTTAGTTGATGTTAGTTGATGTTAGTTGATGTTAGTTGATGTTAGTTGATGTTAGTTCATGTTAGTTCATGTTAGTTGATGTTAGTTGATGTTAGTTGATGTTAGTTGGTGTTAGTTGATGTTAGTTGATGTTAGTTGATGTTAGTTGATGTTAGTTGATGACAGTTCATGTTAGTTGATGACAGTTGATGTTAGTTGATGTTAGTTGATGTTAGTTGATGTTAGTTGATGTTAGTTGATGTTAGTTGATGTTAGTTGGTGTCAGTTGATGTCAGTTGATGTTAGTTGATGTTAGTTGATGTTAGTTGATGTTAGTTGTTGTTATTTGATGTTAGTTGATGTTAGTTGGTGTTCGTTGATGTTAGCTGATGTTAGTTGATGTTAGTTGATGTTAGTTGGTGTTAGTTGGTTTTAGTTGATGGTAGTTGATGTTAGTTGATGTTAGTTGATGTTAGTTGATGTTAGCTTAGTTTAGTTGATGTTAGTTGATGTTAGTTGATGTTAGCTGATGTTAGTTGATGTTAGTTGATGTTAGTTGATGTTAGTTGGTGCCAGTTCATGTCAGATCATATCAGTTGATGCTAGTTGATGTTAGTTGTTGTTAGTTGATGTCAGTTGATGTCAGTTGATGTCAGTTGATGCTAATGGATGCTAGTTGATGCTAGTTGATGTTAATTGATGTTAGTTGATGTTATTTGATGTTAGTTGATATTAGTTGATGTTAGTTGATGTTAGTTGATGTTAGTTGATGTTAGTTGATGTTAGTTGGTGTTAGTTGATGTTAGTTGATGTTAGCTGATGTTAGTTGATGTTAGTTGATGTTAGTTGATGTTAGCTGATGTTAGTTGATGTTAGTTGATGTTAGTTGATGTTAGTTGATGTTAGTTGATGTTAGTTGATGTTAGTTGATGCTAGTTGATGTCAGTTCATGTCAGTTGATGCTAGTTGATGTTAGTTGATGTTAGTTGATGTTAGTTGATGTTAGTTGGTGTTAGTTGATGTTAGTTGGTGTTAGTTGATGTTAGTTGATGTTAGTTGATTTTAGTTGATGGTAGTTGATGTTAGTTTATGTTAGTTGGTGTTAGTTGATGTTAGTTGATGTTAGTTGATGCTAGTTGATGTCAGTTCATGTCAGTTGATGCTAGTTGATGTTAGTTGATGTTAGTTGATGTTAGTTGATGTCAGTTCATGTCAGTTGATGCTAGTTGATGATACTGTAGTTGATGTTAGTTGATGTTAATTGATGTTAGTTGATGTTATAGTTGAAGTTATAGTTGAGGTTAACAATTTAAGAAACATCTGGGATTTATTGTTGTGATTTTACGATAGTTGAGTTGTGATACAATGTCCACCATGGATCTTATTCACCCCGGGCTGTTCATTGCGGTGGATAGCATTTTGTAGCAAATTATAATCTGTTCAGGTAGTGTTTGGGGAATGATTATGGTTATATGATATTGTGCATTATGCATTCTATAGGCATGAACCCCCAAAAAAATGGACAAGTAAGATTCCTTCGCACGCATATATAGACAAGTTATATACATGTCTATCTTTTTGTGGGCTAACAACATACAACAAAGCCATTGACCTCCCCTTACCATGAACTCCAAGCAACGGTGCGGCCCAAAGAACCGCTTGAGGGCCTTGCACAGGGCACTCATAGGGTCCGCGTTTAGGAAGTGGTTTCAAACAAATCCTGAGCATATGAAAGTCAATGAGGAAATATCATGCCGGGATCGAAAATAGAACATATTCGAAAGCAAAGCCCTCAAAGTGGGCACAGCGTGGGTCAAACACCACTTTCCATCCATAAAACATGAGATATTCGGACAATCCAATTTCGGAGCATCCGCTTTTGGACCGTAACATGATTTGGTTCGTCAGTATTGAGGATCTCCTACCTCAAACCCACACAGCCTACAGCTTGAAATAGTTCTGAGAATTGTCCGCAAATTATGTAACACCTATCACCTATCTAACAAGAAACCATCCCGAACTTTTACGTTTTTGGGGTTGTTTACCATATCGGGTCTTTATTCTTTGCCGTTCAATGTTGGGTATACTTCATTGGAAGGAATCCTCGACAAACAACATGACACCACATGACCTGCACTTGTGGATTTTCTTGCATGATTTTGGTCACTTTGGTGTCACCAAAGGTGGTGTTCTCACCAATCCACCTGAACGCGCTCCCCTACTGTGGATGGAAGAAATCCTGCATCACCTTGGATGGTTGAAACCCTATACCATCTGGTTATTTAACATAGCCATGGAGAATCACCATAGGTAAACCATCTATAAATGGGCCGTTTTCCATGGCTATGTTAAATAACCATAGGGATCCATAGGGTAAATAATTCGAAAAAAAAAACCTCTCAACTGATGCAGGATTTCGCAACCATCCACCGTATACGGCACCTCCACACAAGGCTTGGTGTAGTGATGTTCACACAGGTCAAAGGCGACCACTTTGGACGTTGGATTCGCCAGCCTTGGCTGTTGCCGCCGCATAGGGTCTCCATTGTTTTTCTGCCCACAAACCTACCATTCCCCCAATAAACATAAAACCCACCATGAGTCGCAAACTCAAAAAACTGCCTAAAACTCTAAGAATGGGTGGCTCTCGGAGTCCAACTGTTCGTTTGGGGTATGGAAAAGGTATGGTAGATGTTGATGTTTTATCACCACAACCTCCAGAGGTTCCAGTCCCCCCAGCCGCAAGGCACATCATGAGACACACAGAATGGCCCGCATTGAAGCCAACCTCCAATATCTTAGCTCCTTCACCTGCCGGCGCTAAATCTGTCTGGTGGTTGAGCTGCTTTCCCATCTTCAAAATGGGAATGTCAATGGGGATCATCATACCCAGCAAATGATTTAAACATCTCATTTATTTATCATCATACCAAGTTTTCATCATTCTTAACTTACTGGTGCGTTTTACGTAGGGAATGGATGGGTTCCTGGGGGTGGCTGGGATGATTATTACTAGTGATTTAGTGGGATCATTCCCGAAAATTCCCTGCGCTTAGCACCCGTTGCTTTTGGGCTTTTAAGGAATTGCAATTAATTTGGGTTCAATTGCAATTAATTTGGGTCTGGTTTTTTTGAATGTGCCTTGGGCCATGTAGATCAAATACATACATATATATATATGTTGACATATGTGATGTTGATCTTCATGTGCAGATATAATTGGCATTGCAGTGTGATACACACATATTGTATATGATAATTATACATATTTTTTGTCTTGGGCCTCAGTGTCAGTGTTGGACATCAAAAAAACTTCTCTCATATAGACTATATACATATGTGTCGGTATAACATATATACATATATAATTTTGAATAGGTATATATATATTACATGCATACAGAAATATATGCGATTCTCTTGGCGGCCTTTCTGCGTCAGATTTGTTTGTCTTACTAAGGTAAAGCGCATGCAACCAAATTGTTTACTTTTGGATACTTAGGGGATTGAAATGACCTACTTTCAAGTTCCAATAGCTTGGAGATAGAGTATTGTTTCAACATAATTCAACATAAGCTATAAGATTTTAAATCCTGCGCTTAACGTACATTCGGCCATGTATAGGGACTTAAAAGCACATCGAAGCTCGCTACGCTGAAAATTCAAGATTCTACGACAGTTTCATTGAAATATTCAATCCCCTACGTAGCATAAATCAGGCCGCTCATGGATGCTAAGTTTCTTTAAAAAAAAAACTGCAAGACTTCTCCCAATTTTTCTGGTAATATTCTATCCCTTGTAAAATGAACATTCTTCAAGAGCTGTCAAGCACTTTAAGTTCACTGGATTCAAAACTTAAGGTGAAAGTGTCCCTCAAAGCCTTTGTCCTGGCAATATTCGATCTTTGATCCACTGAAACTCAAGAGTAGATTAAAAGCCTGGACGGTCCCCAGAAAGTGAAAAGTAAGGGATTGATTGAAGATTGTCCGATGTTTCATTTGGAAATGTTCAATGTTGAAACCACTGGAACTACATAGTGTAAGATCAGGACCACCTTTAGAACAAATCATAAGTACAGGATTGACAGTGAAGATTGCTCCAAAACCTTTACAGGTTCCTGGAACAACCTAAATCATAGGTACAGGGCACTATACACAACATTCAGTTTTATGGATATTGCACTTTGCAACAATCACATTGTGTTTATTCTGGCCCTTGTATGTGATTGGAATGAACCACATTTAAATATGTATTTAGGAATGCTGTCTGTTTTCCTTGATGGTTGGCACCTCCCCTCCAAGGAATATAGCACATTTGAAAGAAAGCCTCCAAGTCCAACACCTTAAGAGAATTGACACTCTCTGAACGGAACTTTGCTTTGCCTGCAATGCTGCCCCTGGCAAGTCAAAATTATATATTATGACACTACATATGTATATATGTATATATATATATCTCTCTCTCTCTATCTCTCTCTCTCTCTCTCTTTCTTTCGTATATGTGTGTATGTGCACTGCACTAAAGAAATGCTGCGCATAATTATGGAGCTATAAAAAGGATACAGATACCCCTTTGGAGAAACGCTGCGTTGTACACATAGGCTCTCAATGTTGAGGCTGCTCCTTCGCAGAGGATCTTGAATTTTTGAAAAGAATGCAAAAAGACACACCTCATAGCATACTGATATACTGCATTTTTGCTGCGTTGATCTGAAGAAACAATGTGTTTTCTGAAGGCACCCAACTTCTCAAAAACACTGCTGTATGGGACTACAGCGTGCCACTTGTTGGCGGTACTTTCTGATGTAAACACTACCTGTTCTTGAAGAATATGGCACTTCTTGAGCAAGCCCTATTTTTTGAGAAATGGACGTGCAATGAATACTGCACTTGTTCATGGACATGCACTTTATGCGAACGCGACCCCTTCTCAAGCAAGTGGTAGCTTTGGCTGCGATGTTTTTTGTTGGTGCATCATTTGTTTCACTTCTGACTGCATTTTTGCCAAGAAATATTGCAATTTGGAAGGGCACACCTCACCTTCATACAGGCTTGCTCCATAACTTTGGTCTTGGGGGCCTAGCCGCGTAGTGGCTAGCCGTATACGTGTCCATACGAGCCCATGCCGTGAAATCAAAAACAAGTGAAACTCTGGATGGAACACATGTAATGTCTGAAAATTGCTCAACATGGTCAGTCGCATCACAGGCCTGCACAGAAGAATTCTGTGAGGCTATGTGCAGCGCAGTCAGTAGGCATCCCATTATGTAGCTTGTCTAGTTGGGTTGGATCTAGCAAAAATCAGGATCTACAATAGCAATATTGGAGCAATATGGGGCAATCATGGTCCTCAAGATTGTTATCAATGTTTGGCAGGGTTAGTGACCACAAACACCCTTCAGAAATCTTACCACTTGAAGTCCTGAAAATTGATTGGAAAATTGTTGCTATTAATTAGGGTCCAATTATCTACCAAAGTCGATCGACTTTGGTGGAAAATTGGGAAATTTCAGACCCAAATTAATAGCAACAATTTTAGTCTGAAAAAAAACAAGATTTTGTAGAAGTCAGGTTGCAAAAATGTGTACCTGACTTCTACCAAAGTCGTTTGACTTTGGTAGATGTTCCTTATCCCAGCAAAATATGGTAGATCTTGCTATCACATTTTGAAGGGTCAAGATCTACCATATTTGGTTTTGCATTTGAAGATCTACCAAAGTCAAACGACTTTGGTGGAAGTCAGGTTCACATTTTTGCAACCCAAGATCTACCATATCGATGTTTCTGAATTGCTATATATTTGGGTTTATTGCAATTTCGCTGGAATCCCCAACGCTTAAAGTACCCACCTCCACCAAACGATGGAAAGATTCCACTCGTTAATGAGCATGAAATAAACTATAGTCAGTGCATGGGATACTCATGAGATTGCGGTACTTGATGAGCTGGAAACTCATCAACTAAGTCGGACCGTATCTGTTGCATTTTGTACTAGTTGTGTTTTAATGAGTCTATCGCGCTACAATATTTTGGTAACCCAACGATTATGCCCAAACCAGTCCCAGTGCAATGCTGGCCTGGGGGTTTCTCAGGGCAAAAAGTGCGAACGCAATAGCCAATGAGCAATAGAGGTGCGGCCCTTATTTTCACACGAACAATCTTTCCGCCATTATCTTTTAAAGCTTATTTCCTCAACTTCTTTGCCAAGAAGTTTCCTGAAAAAACATGCCTACATGTGGTCAATGGTACTCTTTCAAAGAAGTATTGTAATCCAGAACTCTCCCAAGGGTAAAATTGCATAAAGTGCTACTACATTGTTTATTAGCGGAATATTGTGTTTTTCAAAAGTCCATGGAACAGTTGCATATATATATAAATATATATATATATATGAGGTATGATATATGTATGATATGCATATATGTACATCATTTACATGTATATGCATTTAATTATTTATAATTATATATATATATATATGTTACGGGAGAGGTTTTAGTAAAGGGATGGCGCTTGCTTTCGGAGGAATGCTTGTCGTTTCGGAAGAATGCCGCACATTTTGAGGGCTCCCTGAACTCAAAGCAATATAGACTGCATCATGTTCAAGGAAATGCCGCGTTTTTTTCACAGAAATGCTGCTCTCTTCTAGCCATTTTTTTGCACACAACGATGCGACACTCTCTTACAAGCAAGCGGCACGCTTTTACCAATGCGCATGATATGTTGATAGATTATATCTAAAGAATATGCTGCACCTTCTCAAGGGAAGAAACTGGACTGTCTTGAAACAATATCTACTGCATATGGCAACAGACTTGTATGTCAAAGGACTGAATTTGAAAGGTAACACTCTGCTTTTTATCTGTGTGGATACTGTATATCTTGAAAGACTCATTGAAAGCTGGTCTTTACTGCACTCTTGTCACGGAGTTGCTGCCCTCTCTGAAAGTGATGCTGCACTTTCCTGGGAAAGTGTGTTCTTTGAAAATGGCTGGCGTTTTTTCAAACTGTGTGCCTAAATAGTCTATGAAGTGACAACTGCTTTCCTCAAAGAACATTACACTCGTGTGCAAGAATTATTGCATAAGCAGAAAAATAGCATGAAGTAGCCTAGCGCAGAGTCTTCAAATCCTTGGCAGCATCGGCTCAATACTTCTTTGAGAGTACAAAAAAGAAAAACAGCTCACCACAGTCATTACACCCTGAACAAAATTGGTGCAAAATGTACCTCATGTGCGAAAAGTTTCAGCTCCACACAAACATACATAATATATTAGTATATTTGCAAATATGATCGCGTTTGCGTATACATATATGTATATATATATGATATATGAGATATGTATATATACATACGTCCTTCAAATAAAATATAGATATGGGTTTGTTGCCACTTTGCTGCCACGTGGTTGTGTGTGTGTCTGTGTGTGTGTGCCTGCAATCGGTTGAAACTAGAGACCACAGCCCAACTCACTCATGTTGGCAAGAGTATTTGGCACGTTTTGAGGAAACAGTTACATATTTTTTGTCAGGCAATTTTGCTTCCCTACCGAACAAGTAAAAAAGCTCCTCCAGTGACTTAACAAACACTGGAACACAACATGCAGCCAATATGTCCATGCGGGGTGTGTCAAGCATGTGAGAAACACCACCGAGTTATCAAAGGCAAGTAGTCACATGATTAAATCAAACAAATCCGGTGAAATTGGGCGTCTTGCGCGTCTTGTGACAATTCAAAAATTACTCCACGATCCAAAACCACTGGGAGCCCAAACGCGCGGAAAATACAGTAAAGAAAATCAAAAAGACAAAACTTTGGGCCACATGTGACTATCTTCCCTCGCTGTTTGCGTTTTGTTCGTTGTTTTTGTGGGGATTTGCTGGTGGGGGACCGGGTCCGGATCCGAAAGGATTCCTGCAATATACCAGTCCTATTTACTGAAGCTGAGTCCCTGCATGTGATATGTGAAATCAAATCACACAGTGGAGCTGGGTCTACTAATTACCACTTATTCTGTAGGCGCACTTAAAGGTCACTTCATTTGTGTCTGCGGGGATTGTGAATTCAATTTGACAAAGAACAACAAGATTCAGAAACGCGTGGGGCTCACAGTATCCCTTCTGTCAAACACATGGACCGCTGATGGGCTTCACCAATACCTGTACACATTTGGTGTGCATGTGGATGAAAATCCAAGAATTACATGGAATCAAAAGCCTAAGGGATATTCAAAAAACAAAACCCAAATTAATTGCAATTGAACCCAAATTAATTGCAAATCCTTTTTTCATCCACACCATTGTTGAAACGCGAGGTCGATGGTCGAGGTCCCACCCGATGTTGCGAAGTCATTTAAGGTTGAAACTTCAATGGGCTCATCATGGGAGAATGCTCATGATTATTGATGTAGACACAAAAAACGCATGTATATGTGTATATATATATATATATACATTTCTCTCTCTCTCTCTCTCCAATCTCGGAATGCATGTATATATATCTACATATGTATATAAATAATTATATACATTACATACATAAACACTAATTATATGTCATCTATAAAATTGAGATTCCATCATCTATCCACAAGACCAACCGACGCCCAAGGTGCCAGCTTGTTGAGCGAGGTGAAAGAGGTTCCTCCGGTGTTCGGGCATCTTCCACAAGAACGGTGGTTCGACCCGGTGTTCAACGACAATGGACGTAAACAGGCATGTACCTTCAATAAATGTTTTTTTGTAGATCAAGCGTGTGATTGGATTGAATATGTCTAAGTAAGTGAACTCATGCAAACACAAAAGTGGATCACAGGACAGGTTGTCACCATGTATGGTGATATATAGAGGTAAACAGAGTGCTTTTGATTGATAGCATGAATCAGTAGTACAACTCCCAAATGCTCCATGTTGACAAGCCAAGAGTGATCAGCTCCCAGAAATCCTCTGCTTGGATTTCATCTCTGGCACTGGGGCGAAGGAATTCCTCGCAGCGGATAGGTTGCGGGGAGGAGCCGAACATCCAGTGAGTTGAAGTGAAAAAATTGCAGCAAACCCATTGCAAATGATGCAAAGTCTTCGGGTCCCCTAAAATCCATGGGTTCATGATCATGTTCCTAAAATTGCCACTTAGATACATTTGGGGTAAATTGTTTATATATATATATATATATGCATTATATATATATACATATGTATGCCGCATATATAACATTTTCAAACGCCCTGAAATGGTGATTTGATTTGTCATTGTCATGTTTGCTGCTCCTCCCCTCTACACAGGCTGCATGGACAGGTTCACCTTATATTGCTAACCCCTAAAAAAGTAGCAAAGGCTAATGATTTCAGCAGAACTTGTCTTTTTGCACTAATTCTTTTGGAGCTTGCGGAGGGGCCTCCGGCTATCCGCTTTTTTTAATGAATGACTCGTCATTTTTGGCAACGCACATATTTTGGGTGAGGTTGAGGCGATGATTCCGCGCCCAGGTCATGAAAAACAGCTGAGGTCAGGGATTGAAACCACAACTCTCGGCCCCGCTCCAAAGATCTCCAAGCTTCCAAGTGTGCATGATGCTTCCCTCACATGGCTCCCCAGAAGCCTGGATGATCAGAGGCCATGGTGGGGTATTTCTTCCATCGCGAATCGCAATGTCGTCTAGATAATTCTTTATAACAAACCACGGTTTCTTGGAGAGTGCCTAATCTAAGAGCGCGGCGCCAACTCCAAATCCCAAACGTTCAAATTGAGAAGCTCCAGCACTCCAAGACTACACAATTGAGACGCTAAAGCTGCCCAGCCTGAAGGCCTAAATCAGCTGAAATGCGGTTTAGCTGAAACGATCACCCAAGAAACCTGGGACACCCCTCAAAAACGGAATATGCGGGCTCCTTTTCATAATTTTCAACAGCCAATGATGGTTCCTGTCCTGGTCATCCAGCCAAGTGTAACACCGTTGCAGTCGGTTATATTTGATCATAGGGTCCCTCTTTTCTTGCTTGCCCAGCCTGATGCAACCGGCCAAACATGTAAGATATTATACAGAACCTTATATGCCAGCTAAGCATGGGAACCTTGCATCAAGCAAACGTTGTGAAAGCTTACCTAGGCATGGGATATGAATAGATAGATGCAATCATGGTCATGTTCATCGTGAACAAATCGATACAACCGAGTCAGGCACTGGTATGCAACCAATCGTCATCTAAGTTACATGAACTTCAGCTATACCTACATTCATTACACAATAATAATGAACACATAAAAACAATAAACTTTGGTCAACACCAAAGTCATCAACTGCACAATTTGATAGTTATACCTTTGATTCCAGTATGTATATATATATGTGTGTGTTATACTGATCTTATGCCAATTTTAACCAACTACAAATATACGCGTTGTATTTCAACATCTCGTCTCTCCCCATTAAGTCAACGACGCCTGGACACATCTCTGAAGCTCCTGAAAAATGCTGCACTGCAAGGCCTGGAGGACACTGGAGGATCGAAATCCTGGTGGGAGATCCTGGGAACTGTTGTTAACTGGCGTCAAAAACCTGGCGAAACAATGGATCAGAAACCAGTTACAAACCACTGAAGTAAACCTAGGACCATGTAAGAAGAGAAGTGATAAATTGATTGAATTATTGTTCTATCTTTCTGAGGCTTAGTATACAAGTATATATTCCAATAGGCCAGGCAAATAATATTATATGTATTGTGGGAAACGCATAGCTGTCACATGGCTTGCACCATCTAAGCAATCACCCAAATTTGGCCTAAAATGGATCAGAATGGATAGATGATCCCAAAAAAATGTGGCAAACTCCTGGCAAATACAAGCCAATACCCCCTGAACGTTCACATCAGCAAGAACTGAGTCCTTCACACATCAACACCTTCATCATTATCATGAGTGTCGTCGGCATCATCATCATCGTCATCATCATCATCATCATCATACTGATAAAAAAAAATAATTGTCGTCATCACCATCATCACTTAATCACCATCATCACCATCACATGCTACGTTATAGAGATGATCAGTAATGCGCTGATACGGTATTATTGTGGAGCTATTTGGTCAAGGACTGCGACTTGCACGTCTGCAACGTCTCAATACGACACTCCCCGGGCCCCGAAAAGTCAGTCGTCGCACCTTGTCAAAGTCAGAACCTGCAAGTGTCACAGTGTCTAGCTTAGCTTCCCTGCTACCAGCAATCAAGTGCACCCAATACCCATTTACATAATAATTTGTATATATGTGCGTTTATGTAATTATACATAATCATACGCATATATATATTATATACATATATAATCATGTGTATATAAATATATTACATATATGTATGTATATATATATTATATACATACGTATATATATATATATATGCATATATATATATACACAATTATTTACATGTATGTATGTATGTACGTACGTACGTACGTACGTACGTACGTACCTACGTCTGTCTGTCTGTCTGTCCGTCCGTCCGTCTGTCTGTCTTTGTGTGTGTGTGTTATAGTTATATATGAATATATTATATGATGTTTCCACATGCAACCACTGACCGAAACACTATTAGTTCCATTGTCACACTGAAACACATTTCCGGCGCCTGGGTCCTGCATGGGATGCGGCTCAGTGGGATCTTTTAATCCATGGCAGCTCTGGAGAAAGTGCTTCCATATGCACTTCATATCCTTGCATATGGGTGTGTCTGAAAATAGTGTACCCCTAAACCTAATGGTTTTGCTGATCATTATCCCTATTAAATGGCTATTTCATTGGGAATATACCCTATTTTCAGACAAACCCATATTGCTGTCCGCAGGATTCCGGATGCTCTGGCTTTGCTTCAAGAGAAAACGCTTGATCTTTTGCATCCAGCCTCAACGCCTGCATTTAGGAAACATAGATAGACATGCTCGGACTTGTTGAGCTAAGCAAGAGCTGATTAGCAAGCAAAGCCAGAAGGGAGGCCGGCGATTGCAAAATATGTTCTATTGAATAATTTATAAACTGCGAGGAGGGGACAGGAAACAAGCAAAGGGATGCATGCCAAATGTGACGCCGATGTCTTGAACTCAGGACTCCCTCTCGTATTTTTGAATGTGCAGAACTTTTTCTGCCAATCAAAAGCGTCACCAGTTCACACATGACATTCTGACTCATGAGTTTCAGGCCGCTCTTCAGAAAACCAAACAACACATTGCATACCATAAGGCCATCTGCAAGCTGCAGAATCCATTGGGCTCCGAAATATCATGGCTAGCTCATCGAACCACGACACTGGGTGACCCCACCAACTATCATAAAATATCTGTCGGCTAAATTCATTCCCCGGACAACTTGCAACACTAGCTGTTGAAGTACACAACAATAAGAAAAGAACGAAGCCCATGGGTTTCCCTCCATGAATGCAGCTTCTCTGAGGTGAAATGTTGAACCTTGAAGTCATGAATGATCCGTGTCTTTCACGTGACCCCTCCTAATTTGATACAAAGACATGGGATCCGCGTACTGGAAATGGCTCAAGATTCTTGAGCCCCCCCAAAAAGGGATGCCTTTCTGACAAGTCAGCAAATTGCTGGGCCCATCCGCACCCTTTTTCGGGCCATACACATGTACAGCTTAAACCTTCCATGGAATCCAGCAATGGCTATTTCAAACAGGAAAATCATCCTGCAAACCACAAGACAATGCGGTTCTGGGTTGGTTATCCGAAGGGCACCCATATCTATCCTCCAGTAAACTAGCTGTTGAACAACGGTTTGTTTATAGTTGATTTTCCTAATATGATAGTGACTATATGTGACTATAGTGGTTTTCCATAGCCATATGTGAAAATACCAGCAGGAAAATCTGTTAAATCTGTTAACTATATAAATATAATAAATATAGGAAAATCTGTTAACTATATAAACTATATAAATATAATATATAATTATATATACACAGTATATTATTCCAACCACCAGCCACCCAACTGGGCGTGTGACGCTGGTGCTTCCTGAAGGAGCGGCGACTCACTGGATGACCCAGGCTTAGCCATGTGGGGACCCAGTACAGCCAGCGATTTTTTTGGTAAACAAATACCATAGTAATCACTGATAGAAATAAGTAATCCTACTGATTCAGTAGAATAGATAGAAATCTACTGATAGAATCACTAATCCTACTGATTCATTAGAATAGATAGAAATCCTACTGATTGAAATAAGTGGCTAATCCTGGCCCTGGCTAATCAATGCTAATCATAGTAATCACCAGTTAAAGATAGAAACCCTAGCAGTAAAATCCTACTGATCTATTAGTGGGGATTTACTGTACTTTTCTATATCTTTTTAGGCTGGTAAATCTAAAACTAACGGTTCATCCCCATCATGAGCTGCTGCAGTTCAAATCCACCCATAAATTGTGCATAGCAAAGAACCAATCAGTGACTTATGGTGGGTTTGATTCATCAGCTATGGACTATGGTTGACTTATTGATACCACTAATGCATAGCAAACAATAAATACTTCATAATCAGAACCAATCAATGAACTGTCATCAAAACGACAGAAAGACTTCGGGACACCTATGTCTTTCCATCCTCAGCAAAGCTCCCTGCGCACCGTCCATGCATGGCCCCAGTTCGCATTCGGTGCACCATACCTCACGAGAACGAACTGGCAACTGGTCGACCAATGCATCCCTACGGTAGACGAGTTACCTATGAAAAGTGATTGTCCATGGCCATGTTACCAAAGGGATCCATGTTGGGAATATCGGTATATCTTTCCAACATCTTTCAACTCAACGCCTCAATTCCTGCAGTGACATAGATATGGAAAAACATGGAAAATCCATGCTCACTCACCACGAAGGGGTCATTAATTTACTAATTTATGAATATATACAATTATAAATTTAATTTACCATATATATATTATTTATATATTAATTTATATGAATTTCCCCTTCGGTTTCAGCGTTATTTCAATTTACCAAATGTCATCCATTCCACTGGCATGATTCGATGGCATTCCGAGCGCCTGTGACTCTCGCCATCTCGGTAGCTGGCGGCTGTTGGCCCTGAGCCAGCCCCATGCGGGCCTGCTTGACCTGGATAAACATCTCAGGAAACCATAAGGCGCTGCCAGTGGTGCCCCCCAGTTACGATTTAGTTCAAAACTCAGTCACTATCCATATAACAACATATAAATATCCAGAAATCCTAGTTAACCTACCTATGATACTTTTGAACCAAGCTAGGCACCAGCTCGCAGGAATCACTTCGTTTCGGGGAAAATTCACAGAAGACTCTTGTTTTTAATACCCCAGATTTGGGAACAAGGGCATGAAAAGTGACTGTGGGAGCCCTACATCAGCCTCTTTGGTCGCAGCCGTGCCTATAACATTGTATTTCTGAAATCTTGGGTATGGACTGGTATGGATACCGTCGAATGAGGATACCTGATATTAGTGCTCTCTTTTTTGGCTGGTTTGTATAGCCTTTTGCAGTCTGCACCGTGACGCAACATATACATGTTGGGGCTACACATTTCAAACAAACAGTGCTAGAAAGCCTCAAGCGGTGTCTGTTGCATCATGAATCATGACCACATCAATACAAACAACATAATAAATGATAATGAACAATAATCCCGCCCATATGAAATACAGCCATAGAAACCCTGGTTTAGGGTTCATTATCGTGGGATATTCGGGTTTTAAACTATTGCTATGACATATTAGGATGGAGTGAACTGTCATATCATGCTTGATAATACCACGGCCCTCTCCGTTCGGAGATCTAGGCGTAGCTACCCTCTGCACCTGACATCGTCGATCCGGGGTTCGTCGGTAACATCAGCCTGACCAGCACCCCGGGATGAGCACCACCTATGGGAAAATAACGGTTGCTTTTGACCATGGCACACGTAACGTACGTTAAGGGTTAATTAGAGAGAACAGTTGCCGTCATGTCTCAGTTGTCTGGAGTTATGGTGGCAATCATGTAAGTATGTAACATCTAGTCAACCCAGGCGTTTCAAATTCAAAGGTGTCCTCTAGAGACTCTAGATTTCCCTCAAGCCAATTCTTGGAAAAGTATAAGTGCGTGTACTCAAGGACTCCCATGACCACCTTCCATGCAGATCCTATTCAACTGGGCTTTCAAACACGGAAGGGTTTTGGGACATGCCAGCCAGGGTCCACATTCAGGGTAGCACCAATCAAAAGCAAACATGGATCCAGACCGCTTACCTAGTGTCCCTTGCATCACAGAAAACTACAAATATTGAACTCCAGGCAAAACTGTGGTGGATCAAAAAAAAATGGGCACATGACCAAACGTCCAAATAGTTGCCAGGAAGTGCAGTTCGCGTGGGTTTTTTCGGCGATGATTGATCTCCACAAAGTGACCCGCCTGGGGATATTTGGGCCAGCACCGCAAGCAGCACCGCATGGTTGAGCCTACCAACAAAGGGGCTGTCCAGGTGAGGTGGTCCCATGGATAGACAAAAAGCAAGATCAAAACATTCAAAATTATGATAAGTGCGGGTCCAATCATGGTATATATTTAACAATGCATATATATATATATAATATGTATATATATATATGATGTGTGTTTGAAAATCATGACCATATACTAAAAAAAAAACTTTTACTAATTGATCGTAATTGATGAATTCAATATTTTGCAAAATTAATTCTGACAAATTCTAACATAGTCTGACCAAACATTGTTAGTGATTCAGTGGTCTGACTGGGCGGCCCCTGGGGCCAGATCTTTTTCATCTTCCGCGCGCTGTCGTCCACACGAGAGCTCAACGCCTGAGACGTGGCTGCCATGGCCCTTCATGATCCAAAGTTCATGTGTCTCATCTAAGTCAAAAATGAATCTGAAAACTATAAACTGCATATGGTATCATATGGTCAATTTTGGATTGTGACAACTGTATGAGGAATCTGAAAGTTTAACATCCACCCAAAAGGTGTTGGCGTTGGTGTTGGTTTTTGTTGGCAAGAGGCTGCTAAACTTTCCAGGTGCCAAACTATCTTCTTAGTGTGCCTTGCTTCCAACACTTTGTACGACCGTCAATTTTTTGTTCGATTTGATGGAATAGTGTGATTGGCTTCGTTTTTGGTTTACCGGCTTCGTTTCCAAAAAGGAAAAGGACGAAAGGAAAAGGAAAAGGACAGGAAAGGGAAGGAAAAAGGAAAGGAAATAGGAAAGCAAAGGAAAAGGAAAAGAACAGGAAAGAAAAAGAAAGGGGAAAGAAAAGCAGAAAGGAAAGGAACCTGATCAGGAAAAAGGAAAGGAAAAGTAAAGGGAAAAGGAAACGAAACAGAGAAGGAAAAAGAGAAGGAGAAGGAAAGCGAAAGGAAAGGAAGGGAGGAAAGAAAGGAAAGGAAAGGAAAGGAAAGGAAAGGAAAGGGAGGAAAAGGCCGTCGTCTGGTCAGAGCTGTCTTCGTGAATTTTGGTTTTGTTTTTAGCTTCGTTGCGGATCACCGACAGAAACCACTCCGAAAAAAATGTCAAAGGAAAAAAGATAGCAACGAAATTGAAATCAAAAGGCAGAAAGGAAGGATGACCGTGCAAAGAAAAACAAAGGGCAAAGAATGCAAGAAGAAAAGGACGAAGCAGTATAGGTCTTCCAGGAAAGAGGCTTCGGCTTCATTTTTCGTTTCCCGGCGTCATTTCCCAAGAAAACCGCTATTCCACTTTTAATTTCGGATGTGCCTCGAAGAAGTGCAATTTGTTTGACCTGTAATGCACCATCACCTGAAGACCTCCAAGACCCAGCCATTCAATTTATTTTTTTCCTGATTGTTTTGACCATGGCCCCTGTCACTACTGTTTAACCAGAGGATTGATAAGGGACACAGAGCACCCAAAGGAGAACTCAATACTTCCAATGTCAAAATGAGACAAAAGAACAGCTCTGCCCTACACCGGACTTCTGGGGAGTGTTTATCAAGGCTTCTCAAACATGACCGGCTTCTCAAACCCTTCATCTTGCCAGGTGGCACTGAATAGATCACAGGCCGCGGATCGTGATGCTTTTCATCATGATGGGCTCAACAGGTCTGTCCTGTTGAGAATAGACCTGCAGGGTGGCCATGGCCATGTTGGATAGGCTGCTTGTTGGCTGCTTCTTTGGGATGCTATCTGTATAATGACACTGACACTGTACCCTGCCAGCTGCCAGACGGTGGTCCTAAAATAACACGTGCTCGAGAAAAAACTCCTATAACCAGGTGCTTTCAACGTCTTTATAAAACTGTCTGCTTGGCGCGAACTTCGAACCTTGGAAATCTTGACAGCAGTGTCGTAACCCTTGATGACCTGGTGGTTGGGATGTTTCACAAATGAGCCAGCCATCCCAACAAAATCCTGATCAAACGGATTCTATTTGACCATTCTGACCAGGATTGTCATGAATTATCTGAATCAACTATTCTGATCAGGTTGATTTTTGTGGTGTTTCTTCTTGAATGCTGCTTTTTATTCAAGAATAATCCAACCTGCCTGGACGCCAAGACAATTTAACAAACAAATGGATGGAACTGACCAAAACATGCTGAAACCACCGACCAGAAACCTTTCCAAAGACTGGATGTCTTGACTCACCACGAGAAAACCAGTCCAAAAAGGTATTGTCTTTCACCTGAGCCCACATCCACCCTTGACATCTAACAGCATCTAACACTCCAACATTAAACTCATTAAACCCAGGAAAATTCGGACCTGGACTGCGCATGACACATAGGCCTTAAATTCATGTTCTGTGGCGGGTGTCTTCGACTCACTGCAGACGAGAGTTCGAGTTGTAAAATGAGAGATTTGTCGACCGTGCAAAAATGTCGAGGGGACCTTGGCCAACCCATGCCCCATCTTGAGGAATTAACCTTTATCAACCTATCTCTACATGATCTACGCATCGAGTTGCGTTGATGAAGAACTGTGATCCGCCAGAATTGGCTTGCCCAGTGTTCGCCATAGACAGGGTCCCCGCTGAGTTGCTATCATCTGATATGAACTCGTCCTGAGGGCTGGGCGACCTGAAAGAGATGCTTCAGAAGGCACTTATAAGCCTTACTTCGATCCATTGGATTTACTTGACTCATAAACCACTCCAAAATCAGGTCATACGATGTAATACGCACCTGAAAGGTCGAGCCAGCAAAATCACGTCCCCCCTCCCCGAAACAAAATCGGGCTAATCTTCCTCAATTACCCAACAAGACCCCCGGTCCCAAAAAATCACCGCGCGCGACAGCTCGTGACCGGAGGGGGTCCTGGATGTTTCCACCATTGAATCGCTTCTCTGGCTGATTGGTCGCCAAGTTGGTGAAACTACCATCTTCAGGGCCACCCGTGCCAGCATAGGGGCTGAAAGGATCCTAGCATGCTGCTGGAAGGAGCGAATTCAAGAGATATATGTATATACACAAGGACGCAAATAAATGCATGCACATAAATATGCAATTATATGCACATATATAAATAAATAATTAATTAAATAAATAAATAAATTATATATAATTATATATATATTGAACAAAATGAATTTATACCGTATATTTATATATGTACAATTACAGGAACATATCTTATATACACGTCGTCTGTGTGTGTGTGCGGGGGTGAAATCGCGTTCTCTCTGTCTCTCTCTCCCATCTGTCATGGGAGCAGCATGTTCCTGGACCTTTAGGGCATCTTGCATGAACCACGGTCACCATGTTTCATCATTCTGGATGTGTGTGAAGCTGTGAGCTATGGATAGCCATGCCGTCTTCTTCTGTGAAAACACTGCCAGGCCCAAATGTCAATCAGCAATCAACCACAAACACAACCAATCATGGAAATACAAAATCCTCACTACATACATCATTGCACCATCCAAGCCCGTAGGCACTCTAATCTGTAGATATCTATAGGATTCTATAGGCATCTAAAAGCAGCGTGCAGTGCCACAGTCCCTAGCATTGGGACATCCAAACTGGACCATAAAGTTGGGGATGACGCGATGGAAGTGAACTCCGTCGTAGAAGCCCGTCTTCGCCAGGTCAATGAAGTTGGAGGCTGTGCGAGGCACGCGGTCCAAGAAAATCCTGAGCTCAACATGAGGGGCCACGTTCATCCAATATCCACATATCATCCCCATATCTTTTCTTGGTCAGCCTCCCAACGTTTTTTTCCGCAAGAAAAGAGCATAAGGAGGGCTCAGATGGGATTTTGTTCACTGCTTGGCTTTTGCCTCCAAGATACTCTGCCTCAATCTCCCCCATTGAGGTCTCCATCACCGCTACAGGATTTCCCTTCACCATTCCTTGGTTGCAATGTCTGGGCATCCCTCAACGCTCGTTTCCTTGGGAGAAACACCCTTTGCCGCTGCCGGGATGATGGATTAAGCACCATTCAACCATTTCACCAACATATCAGGTGATGATGTAAACGTCCATGATCATCAATGATCAATCATCGATCACCAATCAAAATTCAACAATCGTCAATCAGCCACCATTTAAAAACCTTCAATTTTCGATCATAAAACATTAAACATCAATCATGAATCATCATCAATCATCATGAATCACTCATCAATCACTAATCAATCACTCATCAATCATTCAGAAATCACTCCTCAATCACTCCTCAATCACTCGTCACTCACTCGTCACTCACTCGTCACTCACTTGTCACTCATTCTTCATCATCATCATCATCATCACCATCATCCTCATCCTCACCCTCATCCTCACGCTCATCCTCATCCTCATCCTCATCCTCATCATCCTCATTATCACCATCATCCTCATCCTCATCCTCACGCTCATCCTCATCATCATCCTCATAATTCTCATCATCCTCATCATTGTCTTTCTCCTCCTTATCCTGCTCATCATCCATTAAAAAAGGCAATCTTCAACATCTTCGTACCAGTCCACAACATCACAGCTGTGCTGTCAGTTTCCCCATCGCAAAAAGAAAAACAGGGCCGGGTCCCACAAGTCACCGTACCATGTGCTGCTGAATTTCCGAAGGTCACTTCATAGGGCTCCTCCCCCTTGGTCAGCGCCTTCAGCTTTGAGATGTCATAGGCATCACTTCCTGATGAGAGAAGACCGTGACTGGAGCCACCAAGAGGGACACAAAAAATGAGTTGAGCATCACGAGATCATTCCATGACTCGGCTGGATGAAACTTGTGGCCATTTCAAGCAGTGTAGAAGCCAGCATGTAACCAAATCATCTGGCACCCAACAGCTTCACTGGATGTCCGCTTCACTGATGCCAGATATCACTGCCATCTTTCCCAACCCCCAGGGCCCCCAAGGAGGATCCCCTAAAAGGCCGGCGCCTTGAAGTGTCTGAAAGACATATCCAGGTCGCACCCCCGCTTTCTCTCCAGCACCTCCCTGAAAGACCTGGCTGGATTTCATTATCCGACATCATACCCACCTGGGTAACTGGAAGTTGGTGACATCATTTATCTACCCTGCAAGCTGGCAACTGGAATCGTCTATCAATGAGGTAGAAATTCATTGCCAGATCTGATTCTGCGCTTACAGGGTCTCCCATGATATGTGATTATTAGAAAAGTATCTGCAAGCGCACAATGCTGAACAATGATGCCACAACTTCAAAGACCCAGCGAATACATCGGACTGTATTTGATTATCCATCATACAGAATTATATGATATTATATGTATATATTATATATATGCTTACATGATGTTGCTGGTACCTACCGATGAAGCATCAAAACAAGGAGACGCATGTGCAAGAGCTTAAAAACGGAGAAACAAAGGCACGTGGTAGATGCCCAGGTCACTTTCTGTCATCCTGCTCTCTGAGTCCCAGTTGTTTAAATAGACCGAATCAAACCATCTCGTAAAATTAAATCATAAACAATAAACCGCCATCAGCTGCGTGTGGGCATGGGCAGGCGCCAGAATTTAACACCTTGCATAGTTTTTGTCGGGTACAGTAGATCTCCGCTTTCCAACTGGTCCAACAATGTTTTCGGTTGAGGTATTTCATGTAGGGAACCCCATATGAACCGTATATTTCACGGGACTCCCGTCGGTCCCAGTGGGTCGCGCACCTGTTGAACCACACCTGTGGGGGCATCCACTTCCAGTCCGAGAGGTCCAGGGTCCAGCGAGACCACAGCAGTTTCTTTGGAGAGCAGTCCGAATCCTGGAAACATACCCTCTGGTAAACTAAGATAGCTATTGAAAATGGCCATGTATAGTTGATTTTCCCATTAAAAATGGTGATTTTCCATAGCTATGTTAGTTTACCAGAGGGTATGGCTCATTCACCACCAACCACAATTCTGGATAATAAATCATCAAGGTGGATCCATTAATTATGGTTATTCATATAGTTATACAGAATTATTACACTGGTTGGTGGTATACCTACCGCCTCTGAAAAATCTGAAAGTCAATGGGAAGGATGATTCCCAATATATGATTGGAAAATAAAACGTGCCCCAAACCACCAAACAGCCGGAAAGTTACTGAAGTTCGTAACCGCCGCTGTAAGTTGCCATCACTGGAGTGACTCTTGGATCTCTTGGGCTGATTTGCGAAGGTGATTTGTACCCAAAAATTCCGGAAACTCACCAAAATCAATCTCTACTGAACCTGACGAGTTCGGCAATTTTGGGGTAGCCGGATAGCATCATTCCGACTTGGTGGTGCCCCAGTTCCTTAGGATCTTAGGAAAGTTGGCTTTGAACATCTTTTGACTGGGTTTACAGTAGATATATCTATAGTTAGTGGCCGCTACAATGAGAAAAAACAACAAACGTTGAACTGTTTTAACTGGGGAATCACCCCCCATTCTAGACCCCCCCAGTCAGTCATGGGGAGGGGTACCATTCTAGAAACGTACCCGAGGGTATGGACAAATAACGTGTGCGCTAATATATTGATACAATGATGATGCATGATGATACAATACATTACATCTGCAGTTTATGATAAATAAAAACAAACTGCAACATCATCCGGAAAAAAACAACGCATATAAGTGGTCGGGAAAAAATCACCTCATAATTCTCATCTGCGGGTCTCTCAGCATCTCTCATTTATATGTGACATAATAGTTACATGACATATTTTTGCCTAAGAAAAGTCTGACCTGAAGTGGAATCAGCACCGGATCCTGGAATGTAGGAAGCGCTACCTCGAGCTATCCTGGTCCTACTCCTGCCTCGGCTGGTGTGGCCCAGTGGCCCCTGACAGGAGTCAATTGATGCATTATTGTGCATGTAGGATGAAAAGGCATGACAAATATTGGAAAATATATTAAAAGAAGAATTGAAAGCACAAGCCACAAGCCGCACAAGCCATCAAAGTCCATCAACTGGGCTTCGCTTTTTAGATGGCTTGATCATTCCAGCTCCGAAACAGACTGACGCTCTTTAGAACCACCGCTTCGGCAACTTTTTCTAGTTGGCCTCTAGTTTTTATACGTATCTGGAGTCCAGTGGCAAAGGACAAACTTTTTTTCACCAAGTTCCATGGTGCATTAGTGGTGTGGTCGTCCTGTGATTTGTCCAACGTTTGCTTCTATTGAGCAGCTGAGGCAATGCTTGGTGACCCTACTGTAACTACTGGTTGATGGTTGAGCATACCCCTCTGAAAAATATGACTTTGTCAGTTGGGATGATGACATGCCCAATAGATGGAAAAATAAAATTCATGTTCCAAACCACCAACCAGGTACTGTCTGGATCTATCGTGGCATATCATGATACACAAATATCGCATGCTCACCTCCAGCCAACATCAGTCATCTACACCAATCATCAAATATCAACATTTCATTGGCCATCGCCATGTTGATCCATATTTTACCACCAAAAAAAGTCCCATCGCAGTGCCATCGCAGTTAACACATTAAAAAAAAACATGTGGAGCTTGGTCTCAAAAAGGGCCTTGGTGGTCTCTGCCCAGTCACAGGCGCGCATGTCATGCCCCGGCCCAACGAAGCTAGCACCATAGCTGACGGCTGCCAGGAGCACCAGCCGTGCAACGCCACAATGTTTCATGGCGCCGAAGGGAACAGGATCACCAGCTGTGCACGGGAGATGGCGTGGAGATGGGATGATCACCAGCAACCTGGCTGGGTTTTTTTACAAAAAGAGTGCTGCACGAGTGTCAAGTGTTTGCAAACGTGACCTGTGTATATGAATATCATATATTCCCCCGAATATTAGACACCCCCATTCCATGGTCCCAATTAAGTGGAATACTAAACTATGGTGACTCTAGAAGGGTTGTGACTGCCTTGGCACTGACTTACGAAGTTACGACCCTTGGGCCACAAAGCTGACTGGGAAGCTGAAGCGACATGCACCGCAAAAATTGCTGCTTCAATTCAATTGGGAAAGCCAGGAAACTAAGGGATGGCCCTGGAAAGATCACCCATCAAGCCGCAAGGGATCCTGTTGACTTTCGTCGAGGTCACAAGCGCACCCGGACTCTCAAGTTCAAGTCTGCAATATAGTTAGTATGTTATCTTGTTTTTACATGTCAAGCCCCCAAACAAATAGAAAAGTGGGTCCAGGATGTTAGTTGTAGATGTGTCCTGCAGATTTTCCAGTTCTATCTCTTTTGGGATTGCTACAGGTTGACTAATTCGATAAAGACGTTGGTTCTTGCAAAGTTTTGATAGGGCTTGGGTGATATTATGGATCGGGATAGTCTGTCAATGGTACCTCTGCGGAAACCCATGCCTGGGGATTGCCTGTGATTGGCTCCATCGCAAGCCTCAGAGCGGAAAAAAAACCGCCGGAGAAACCTTTCCAAGGATGGTTCAAGATAGAATACCCTCTGGCAATCTAACATGACCATTGAAAACAGAAATGATTGTTTTTTGTTTTTGTTTTTTTTACAGGCAATTCATATATATATATATATATATGGCAACTTTCCATGGCTATGTTAAATTAATTGTCATCACAGCCCATGATGTTGCCAAAGGTGCTGGGTGGTACCGGTCATTTGAAGCATCAAAACACTGTTTTCCAGGCCTGTCTTCATCCCGACCATTGGTATTCATGACTTTGCTGTATTGTCCTGTGTTCACGACTGAGTTGAGTTTCGCTAGCGCCAAAAGATCCAAACATAGCTTTAAAAACTTGCTTGATAGAACATTATTGAATTGAAACCCACCAATTTCTTTCACTATGTGTAGTCTTGCTTGCACCCCCCACAGCTGAAGAATCTTCAACAACTGCAGCTGTCCCCTTGTTTTAGTGACACACTCTGACTACACCAAGAGACTGATCATAGCCAGGATAGGTGGCCGGCATCCCAGCCATCCCTGGTTGCATTGATTGGGACGATGGCTGTTGATCCATAGGTGGCGGCAGCAAGGGCTGCTGATAAGTTGGTGATCCAACCTGTTGCATCGGCGCAGGCTGCGGCACTGCTGTCTGCACTTGGGGCATGGCTTGCATCGTGGCTGGCTGCACCTGTGGGACTTGTTGGACTTGTTGGACTTGTTGGACTTGTTGGGCCATGGGCTGCATAGGCTGCATCTGCACTGGAATGGTGGGCATCAGTTCTTGAACCATTGGCTGTTGCATCTGTTGCGGCATGGCTGGCTGCATTTCTGGCTGGGAAGGATGGTATGTGGGTTGGAGGACCCCTTGTTGCATGGGTTGTTGCATCGCTTGTTGCATCGTTTGCAGCATGGGCTGAGCCGGCTGGATAGGCACTTGCTGCATAGGCATCTGCTGCATCATTGGCGCGGTGGGTTGTGTGCTCATCTGCACTGGTGGCTGCATAGGCACTTGCTGCATCACTGGCGCGGCAGGCTGTGTGCTCACTGGCACAGGTGGCATGTTCTGAGGCATGGGCTGCTGCGCAGCGCTCAGGGGACCCTGGTAAGGACCTTTACATGGCACAGGCGAAGCTGGACTGTTGGCTCGCACACCAAAAGCAGCAGGTTTGGTGTTGCCAACCGGGCTGGAGAAGTACTGCTGCCCGCCCGGAGACGGGCTTGCCGCTGCTCGCATGATCTTAGTGCAGCCGATGATGCAACGCAGTTTGGGGGGGCATCTTGGATTCCAAGCAAACACATACACGTAAAAGTAAAGGCCATGGTCCATGGTATGTTGCAGCACTAGCTTCAATGAAGTGATCAATGCTTCCTAGGTTGGGTCGCACAAAAATTGTGTCCAGGTTATATAGATCCAGCATAGGGTCAAAGAATACTTAGATGGGCCATGGAGACAATTGCAGTAGGTGGTTCAGAACTGCATTCTATCTGCCCCAAACTCTATTATGACCGGTTATTGTGCTTAATTATTCCAGTATTTATGACCAGTTATATATATCACTCCATGGCGAATCTAAAGTCATAAGACCAGCGTGGTTGGTGCATTCGTTTACCACGGCCACAGCTCAGCCTCCGGACTGAGGGAATCATGCAACTCTTGGGCGATGTTGGTGGTGAACGTCCGCGGTCTCCCCACTCCTCCGGACCTGGCTCCGCGCAGTGTCATCTGTGTCCGATCCTCCGGACAGAAGGGAAGTTCGGAAGGCATGTCTGTTTTTTAAGCGATTCATTCCATATCTGTTTGATCCCCCATATCATCCCACTTCTGGTGAATCCCCAATTTCTGTTGGATCGATATCATTCCCACCATAGGATTTCAAACTTGGTTGTAGAAGTGGGAGTCAACCAAGTGAGTCATGGAAGTTACGATCAAACTATATCACTTTTTTTTGGACGTTTATGTGCTGCATATCCCCAATACAGATCGAAACCTGATGTGGCAAACCCAGGAATAAGCCAAACAATGCCACTCACACCACTCACACAAATTCTCCGTCTGGGTGGTATTGCCAAACCGACCCCTTTAAAAAAATATCGTTTTGGGTACCTGAAACATTGGATCCTAAAAACGATTTTACTACACTGGATATGGCCCAACTGTTGGTTTGCACCTAACATACTTGGGAGCGTATCAAAAATACGGAGCTTTATCATTGGGCTAAAGTCATTTATCGTCGTCATTTATATTATATACCAATACGTAATAACTCGTAAAACCTATTGGCTGTTCATTGGGTCTTTGGTGAGCCAACTTCTGGGAAAATTATGAGTTATCGACATTTCAACGTCCCCCACCATTTATGATGTCAATCGATCGGCTTTCCCTCTGGTAATCAAACATGGCATATAGAAAATCACTCATACATATCATACATATATATGATTATATTTATATGGATGTGTGTGATTTTCCCATCAAAACACAATTTATATATAGTCGATTTGAAGAATTGTCACGTTTGATCACTGGAGGGTAAAGGATTTTCACCACCATGGACCCGCAGAAAAACCCATCGGAGTCCACACCTGAGGCCTGGAAGGCAGGTGGGAAGGCAATTCCTCGGACAGGACTCAAGGAACGGACCTCAATGTGGCGCCGTGGATCTGCCGGGATGACGAAGAAAACGCATGGTAGAAGAACCATATAGTGACCAAACGTCCACAATAGTACAACAATATATGATCAATCAATGAGCACTTTCTTGCTTGAAACACTTCGAGCCATTCCCCGTTGACATCAGAAGCAAGGGGCTGTACCATTCGAAATGGGTTCAGAATAGTTTTCAGTTTTTTTTTGGCTCAGGTTTTGGATTTTTGTTTTGGCTTTCTTTCCTGGTACCATTTGCCTTGTATTTGCAACAGTTTGGAACTATAGTAGAATCTGTCATTTTGCATGGTATTTGCATGTATTTTGCTACATTTTGGCATGGTCACTTTGCATGTTGCACGCTATTTGCTACATTACATTTGGCCATGTTTGCCTTCCATTTTGCATGATATTTGCCACGTTTTGGCGCTTCAACCTCTCATTTGCATGGTATTTGCTACATGTTGGTACTTCAAACCTTCATGTGGATTTCTTGAGAGTTTCTTTAGGCTTTAGTTTAGGGTTTCATTTAGGGTTTCATTTAGAAATTCATTTGGGGTTTCTTTAGGGTTTCATTTAGGGTTTCATTCAGGGTTTCACTTAGGGTTTCATTTAAGGTTTCATTTAGGGTTTCATTTAGGGTTTCATTAAGGGTTTCATTAAGGGTTTCATTAAAGGATTCATTTAGGGTTTCTTTAGGGTTTCATTTAGGGTTTCATTCAGGGTTTCACTTAGTGTTTCATTTAAGGTTTCATTTAGGGTTTCATTTAGGGTTTCATTAAGGGTTTCTTTAGGGTTTCATTTAGGGTTTCATTTAGGGTTTCATTAAAGGATTCATTTAGGGTTTCTTTAGGGTTTCATTAGGGTTTCATTTAGGATTTCTTTAGGGTTTCATGTAGGGTTTCTTATCAGGATTTCTTATCAAAATTTCCAAACGATCATGTGGGTTTCTTTAGGGCTTCTTTGGGGTTTCATTTAGGGTTTCATTTAGGGTTTCTTTAGGGTTTCATTTGGAGATTCTTTAGGGTTTCATTCAAAGTTTCTGTAGGGTTTCAGTTTGGGTCTTATGTAGGGTTTCATTTAGGGTTTCTTTAGGTTTATCTAGGGTTTCTTTAGAGTTTCATTTGGGGTTTCTTTAGGGTTTCATGTAGGGTTTCTTATCAGGAGTTCCAAACGTACATGTGGGTTACCTTAGGGTTTCATTTAGGGTTTCGTTTAGAGTTTCTTTAGGGTTTCTTTAGGGTTTCATGTAGGGTTTCTTTAGGGTTTTTGTAGGGTTTCTTATCAGGAGTTCTTATCAGGATTTCTTTAGGGTTTCTTTGGGTTTCACCTAGGGTCTTTAGGGTTTCATTTAGGATACAAACAGGAGAGAATAAAGCAAAAGAAAAGAAAAAACAAAGAGGCAGCAAAGACAGAAAGCAGAGAAGCAAAGGAGCAGGAAGTAGAGCAGCAAAAACACATGACTAAAGAAAAGAACATGTACAATAGTAAAGTTGAAAGGCACAGAAGCACAAAAGCAGAGAAGCGGGGACAGCAGAGAAGCAGAAAAGAAAAGAACCAGGTAAAGCAGAGAAGCAAAGAAGCATGAAAAGCAGAAGCAGGAAATCATGGAACCAGGAACCCAAAAAGACTCCAAAACCTGCCGCGAAAAAAAAAAAATACACAAC